TAATTATGTCTTAAAAAATTTCATATAAATTTTAACTAAATATATTTTGTGCTTACAAAAAGATTTCTTAAACGAACAAGGCAGATAAGGCCAATTGTCTTGTGGTAGTGAGCAGGATTTGATAAGGGATGCAGCAATTTGATTTGCTTTCGGTCCCGATGGCCACCGACACTGAGTTCTGGTCTTATCCAACCATGATGACGGAACGAGTTGCACTGAATCGTCGTCTGATGACGTGAAGTGGACAACAGCAAACATTGTAGTCCCTAAATACAAAATAAAAAGCGATAAGGCAAACCGGGTTGCATATAATTCTCATACCAATAATTTCTAAGAAAACTTACCAAACAGGATTGTACTACACCGATTCGGATAATCCAATGGTTCGAATATTTAAAATTTCGAAATTGACAAGTTGGTCAAATTAATAGAGATTTCTCGAGACACCGTCCAAGATCTCACTGCTGCGAGGAGGTGAGGCGAGAAAAGCGTGGCCGCGCATATTGGGGTATTACGTTCATTATATAGAGTGAAATATGCTTGTATTATTGGCCAAGTTTTACGGACTTACTACATGTGTTTTACGGTGGTTTACGGAAACATAATACTACCACTTTACTAATCTATAAAATGCCAATTCTAACCTCGTTTTGATTACATAATAAATGTCAGACTGTATAATCCATGTTTCAGTGAACCAAAGTACATGTCATTTACATTTCCTAGCGATTTACAATGTTTTCAACAAAATATGCTCGATTTACAGGGTATGATTCTTAGTGGGATATCTGTAGGTACATATAGGTATTATTATACAATTGAAAATGTGAAGATATTGAACTTGGTCTTTATTGTTTTGAATTAAAGGTCATATCAAGTACCCATAAGACCAATTTGTGAATACCTATATTCGCAATACAATTCGTTCCGAGTCCTCATTTAAAGCTTAAAGACCAACCAGCTCGACCAGCCTTCCTTTACAAACATACATTTTCCATCGCACGGTTCCAAATTTTATGTACGGTATGTAAACATATGGCAAATACAAATCAAACTTTAATACAAAAATATTTGCTAAGGGACGGTCCATAAATTATGTCACGCGAGAGGGGGGAGGGGGGGGGGGTCTAAGGCTCCAATCCATGTTAAAGGGGGGAGGGGGGGTCTTGAAAATCGCGATTTTTGCGTGACGTAATTTATGGATCACCCATAAATTGGTGAAATTTATATGGTCAGCCGGGATGGAGGGTCCGACAGCTTTTCGGATGACATGTCTCCTCATTCTTCTTACAGTAGCTTGCCTCAGAGACGACGTTGTTTCAGCCGATATTGTTGGAGACAGTAAGTTATTTCTTTAATTACGAACCTCAGAGTTCGAACGAACCTAGTGCGTAAAACCTATTAACAAGTAGTTAAAATTCATTTCTAGCTTTTAACTCGAAATTCATTCGGCATTTATAATTCCACCCTCATTTGCAGAAGTCTCACTATGTCCATTTTTGGCGATACGGGCTTTCCATGTTGTATAAACTCTCTTTATTATGTCTCTCGCGAATGTGTAAAAATATGCAACTCTAATTTTAACCTTATTTCAAATGAGTTTCAGCAGGTGCTATCAGTTTACTAACTTCTATTAAATGACATATTTTCAGTAGCTGACTCACCCACCGCTGCGATATCCCTGATTAACGTGACACAACCCCGTGCCAAACGACACCATCACGACCGTGGTCACCCTTCCTTTGGCCGGCGCATGCTAGAGTGCCTATACAGTAAGGACTGCGGATGTCACAAAGGGTTGTGTTGGGCCAAGTGTGATTTTGGGTGGTGCTACACGACCGAGTTTTACGGCCAGAGTGGTGTCTATGTCCCCTGCGAAGATGGCAGACACTGCCGTAGACAGTGGAGTTGCGGTGGACCGTGTTTCATATTTTAGGAACGAAATGTCAAATAAAAATGAAGAACGGGACATGGTGTCGGGATTTTAATTTATTTCTCTTGTCATTATTTTAAAAAAATACAAAAAAATAACAGCAAGATAGCAATACCATTTATTCATATTTGCATTTGTGCATACACTCTTATCCAAATCCAGCATTAAATAATACCAAGAGGTACATATTTATATACTTATGAGCCTATACCAAAGTAGTATTCATAGATAAGTGATACTATGGAGTAATAACTCGGTATTAAAGTTCTGCCATATTGGTAGCATACTTATTTTTACGGGCTGGTATAATTTTAATACCAAGCCGTAGCTGGTTTGACACTGAGAAATCAATACCTGCGTGACTACAAATATGTAGACCAAATTTCTAAGTAATAGTGCATTGTTTGACTTAAATACCTTGTGTTTGTCTAATTTTTTAAATACCTAAAGTTATTTTAAGACATTTTTTTCCCAAATTTTATTAAATAACTTTAAATTTGATAGATAAATACGTAGTGAGGGCTAAATAGCACGTTATGTACATAAGTACATAAATAAAATTCCGTAAAATTAATCAGGTTTCCTCTCGCTATATATACAAATCATAGCTTCTTTTACTAGTTAACTTCAATATCCCCAAAAATTACGCTGGAACTAATTAACTATATTTTTTATCAACCAAATATTTAAATATTAATTATCGTAATTGTTTTAACTTTGCTATGGAGGGGTTACATACTGACATAATAAATTATATATGTACATACACCGAAATTCTATATTCAATTGTATAAACAGTTTGTATTTATGAATTGCAGTATTTTAAAAAATTGAGAGTTGTTTATGCACATACTGCTATTTATGCATTTGTATGTAGTTACAGTATAGGCAGAAAGTCATTATACCCTCATACTTTATGTACATAAAGCCTCATATAGTTCGAGAAGCTTGAGAGGACGAACTGCAATTTTGCACAATTACTTACTATGATGCAAGGTTTCCGGAACCATACTTTGGATAACGGCCTGGCACAAGCAACGACACTGTGAAATTATATCCAAAATTCCGACAGGAAAAAAGTGTTTATACCCATTGACTTTTTGGTACTTTTAATGTAATTTTTGAAAATAAAATCTTAAATCGCCCTTCTCGCACCAAATGATTCATTATTAATTGAAAAATAACATTTGTCTCATACTGAACTGGTTGTCCATTACTAAAATTAGCTCATAATCACTCAAAAACACCTTAATCCCGGCCTGAAACAAATTGTCGTAAATTTTGATGATGAAAGGCTTCGACACCAAAGAATTTCCGACTAACTACCCATTAAGAATGGTAGAGTTGCCAGAATAGTCTAGAACTGCAAAAAGTTTGGGATCGAATGGAATTTAACAGCTTTATCGTGTACATGGATCACGCCCCCATGGACGGATCACGGCAAGTTCTCCAAAAGCCAAAGATTTCACGGTTATCTCCACGAAAAATCAACTTAAAAACGAGGGAGGAATAAAATCTTCGAGTTCTGTTCGAATTACAAAGGGTAGGATCGCTTAAGATGAATTTGCATAGCGAGCAACATGGAGAATTCTATTTCTCCGCGAGGCCTATATTGCAGACAGCTCTAAATGTGCTAAAAATCATGGTAATTGGACGGCTAAATATTAGAAACTCCTGATATTGTTCGCCGACGTCAACATCAACCTCTTTGGTTCAAATTGGGACCAGTGGAATATGGATTCAGCAAAGAGACGCTTACAAAATCAACTACCGTACGCTAACCATTCAGAATGGGGAGGAAATCGAATTTTTTGGGCGTGACGTTATGGAAGGGCGTCCGAAACTTTAGTACAATCGAAGTAATAATGTACTCCAACTACCTCTGCGACGTTCTGAGTTGGAATTTGATGGTAACGTGAGGAAATAACCGTTGGGGAATAATTATATTTTCAAATAGTAAGGCGATCCTAAGCATACATCAAAATTATTGAGGATTTGATTTAGAACGAAGGAGGTTGAATTGTTGAATTGCCTTCCACAATCATCGGACAGCATGCTAAATGACATTTATGATCAACAATGAAACCCAAAATTTCTCAGCACACGCTATCCAACCTCAAAGGACTGGTCCTCGCCATAAGGCTTGAATAGGAGAATTAGGACACTTCTGTCACTAGCTTATTTTTTGGCTCGATGCCAAGATGTGTCTTTGCCTTCCTAAGCGATGGGGGAGGACATCCCAGGTGCTAATTTGACTGTTATTTGACACAAAAAAATTATCAACACATTTTCTATTAAACTTTAATTGGGGTATAAAGACTTTTTTCCTGTCGGAATTTTGGATATAATATCACCGTGTCGTTGCTTGTATCACACCGTTATCCAAAGTATGGTTCTGGAAACCCTGCATCATAGTAAGTAATTGTGCAAAATTGCAGTTCATCCTCTCAAGCTTCTCGAAAAATATGAGGCTTTATGTACAAAAAGTATAAGGGTATAATGACTTTCTGCCTATACTGTATGACCAATTATTTTGTATACATAATTTGATATGGCACAATTCACCACCATATCTAATTTACATAAAAATGTATGCGTATATCTGTACGTACGTACATAGATATATGTTCACATGCATAGAAGCACATTGTTCACGCAGGATCATGGCATGATAAAAATTAAGTTTTTATACTACATAAATAAACCCATAATTAAAAATTTTAATTGTCCATTTCTAAACAATGTGACAAACTACCTATGTAGGTAACTTCCGCATGCAAGTATTATCCCTTCAATTTATGGTTCCAATAATTAAACCAGGATTTACTCATTTAACTCGCCATCCAGTTGTTCATAAATATCTGTTTAAATACACGCTCCAGGAGTTTATGATAAATAAAAATTTTTAATAAAAAATGCTTATCGAGGTGAAAGTTATGGTGTTTATTGACCATAAAATAATTTCCAATATCAAGATCAATGTCAAAAAAGTGATGCTTCCGCATCGTCGGAAACATTTTTTCGCCATGAACCTGACATTTTCCAGTGCAAATAAAAGCGACAGTTCGATGGATGTTTTGACCAGTGTCGAATTCTGGTAGCTGGCCAGACCAGGTTTAAAATACTTACAAATTTTGTCGTTTGTTAGGAAATTTAATAAAAATGAAGTTCGTTTGCACTTTTGGAATTTACAGCGCAATCATAGTTTTGGTATGACAAAAATTTATTTGGTTTACTTTTTTTTAAATATGTAGTTTCATAAATATCTATTTTTAATTCGATGCCAATGGAATTTATGAAAATTTGCTATTTACAGCTAATTTCTCCCATCCTTTGTCAAGACGAAGGTGAAGTTGAGGCACCGGTGGAGAAATCATGTCAAAAATGGATCTTTGACCTCCTCAGTATCGTGTTTGACGCGGTGGGACCATGTTTAGCAAATTCGTTCAAAATCCAAAACCTCGGTGAAGTTGTGACACGACTATTTGTGAGAAAATATTCTAATAAAACGCAACATAATTTATTTACGTTAAGTAAAATTAACAAATGGGTTTAACTAACTGATATTATTTACAGTGTTTTGTGAAATGCCTTTTATCCGAGTTGGCCTTGGTAAGTGTGGAAGCTCCTTAATAATTTTGCAAGATTACCGACTTACCGAATGTAGAATAATTCTGCAAAAAACCGGTAACAGTATTTAGCGCGAAGTAAAAGTTTACTATCAATTGGTGACAAATTAAAGCCGTCGCCGAACTGTATATTATTAAACTTGGCAGCGTCACACTGGTACCAAAACGTTTACTAAACCACCGAATTACTGAAGAAAAATAATCTACACATTTTTGTAAACATACTCATTGTCAGATCAAGGGCATCTTTTCATTTTGCTGATTTTACACGTTATCAATAACTGCTTGAATTTGTGTACCAATTTTTGTGCATAATGCAAATTTATCCCATTCCACAAATTTCCCTAGATCGACGAAGAAGGTGCACTCGATCAAGTCGCAGCTGCCATATTTTTTGGGGAGAATTTTCCAGAATCCTTGCGAAACGAAATTATCCCAAAGGCGGAGCCCTGCTTCAAATTGGCAGGTACTGTTCCAAAACTTGACAAAAATCGATAATATTTTTGCAAACATTTTTATACGCATAATTTTACAGAGGTGTTTAACGGGAAGGAATACTATTGCAAATCCTACGCCGCATTTTCCCAGTGTGCCGGCACCGTCGTTATTCAGGCTATGACGCCGTATGTCATCGGCTGCTTTGGCGCTCCTTTCATCGCAGCCGGACTAAATGTCGCGTTCGGATTTTTGATCAATCAAACCCCATCGGGAAGATCGTTCGAACTTCCTGGACAAAGGGGGAGGTTAGGTTCATCGAATAACAGGACGCTTCAAATGCTCACCACCTACAAGCCGAGGTTCGATAAGAGGAAGAATTTGAGGAATTGAGGGAAATATTTCTTACAGAGAAAAGCACGGATTAAATACTTGCTGTGACGTAATGATACATTTTCAGAGTTCAAATTTTTCATGGGAAATATGCAAATATATTTTATTTCAAATTCATTTTCTAGAATTATAAATCAGTGTATTGCTTACACACTTTCAATAAATGTGATCTTGTTTCCTTGATGAATATTTGTATAATTTTTCACATACAGTAATTACACATATGCATATGTACATATGTATGTACATACAGCTTAAGGTAGTGCTGGATGATTCATCACCAAAATCGTGCATATAAACACAGTATTAACGATTGGTCTAGTTTGTAAATTTATTTTCAACTTCTGGACGACAAATTTGTGGTCAATAAGTTGATTAATAAAATGGCAGTGAGGTTTTTAAGCCAGTTTCGAGAAATACAAATTTTCCTGAAGGCTTCTCAAACTTTGATATCTCTGCTGAGTCCGACCTTCAAAAACTGTTAAATCTGGAGCGTATGTATTTTTTAAATTGACGACGACCTGATCCACAAATTTGTTGTTCAGAATTGTAAGCAAATTCCCAGAGCCGAGAAATGATAAAAAATGTGCTGATTTTGGCTATCTAGTCATATAAATGCGTTAATGTTTCACAATGTCCTTTACGAAGTACATATGTACATACATGCATATGAACTGTTTAAATTTTTTCTCTGTTGAAGGAAATACGAAAAAATTACAAAGATTGTCAAGTTCATTGTTAATTTTCGATTGATTTTGATATCACCGCGTGCCATGTGCGAGAAGAGTATGCGGATGTAAATTGTAAATACTGACAACTGATGTATGTATGCATGTAGGTAAAATAGCGAACCCAGGAGGACCGTTCAGGTTTTACATCGTAAAAAATCGTGACTACGTATATGTATGATCCAGTATTAAGTACTTACTTGGGACGATATGATAAAAAATGTCTCATTGAATAAATTAGTCCCGTAATTTCTGAACGGTTCTTAAAAAACTGTTCTCCCATATTTGTATATGAATCGCATAACAGGATGCCCATTAAGAAATTAGTACTTCCAATCCACGTCATCAACATGAAATTTGTGTTATATAGGAATCTGTCCGTCTGGAATAAACCCAACCGTCACATCCACCCATATCTCAATTGTTCCTTAAGAACAATGCCTAGTTTTATGTGTTTTGAAAAGTTATAAAATTATAAGCTACCTAATTCATGAATTTTCTGAAAATCCTCTCATTCAAATATCATCCTCCTCTCGACAGCGAAACAGTTTTACAAAAAGTGACATTTTTTTTCCTGCAGCCATGGCCTTCCGGTCCGTCATCGTACTTAACATCATCGTACTCGCAGTGGGGCTCGCATCTGCAAAAAAACGTAAGCACGCATAGCATAATTGTTCCAGGTATTGCTCAAAATTTAATAAAAAATCAGCACGTCATGAAATGAAGCAATTCGTTCGAATACTATTTTAAACATTGCTTCACGCACTAGGTACTTTTGTTTTGCAAATTTCTCGTGAATTTTGATACAATTTAATAATTACATATCTAATAAACGGTAGCACAAAACATGCATGATTGACTTCAACTTAGATTATTTTAAAACATAAAAATTTCAAAAAATTCTACAACTCTCGAAAAACCCACAGTTTAACCCCCAGCTAATTAGCACATGTACCTCTTTCAGCTACATACGCCCAAACCGTTTGCATCATGCAACCCGATCATGGCGAGGCCTGCCCAGGCAAGGCGTCCGAAGAAGCGAAGGCATTCTACTTTGACCCCTTGAGCGAAAAATGTGCCCCCATGATATATAAAGGGTGTGGCGGTAATAAGAATACCTTTGCCAACACGGACAACTGCATCAACTCGTGTCAGACGCCGTACCTCGTGGAAAAGGAGAAGGACCAGGAGTTGGCGAAGAGCAAGAAGGACTGCGCCCTTCCCGTGGGGCCCGGTCTATGCAAGGCCATCATCCCCATGTATTACTACGACCAGGAAAAGGGCTGTTCGAAGTTCACTTACGGCGGGTGTGGAGGGAATCGGAATCAGTTTAATACAAAAGAAGAGTGTGATGCTTTATGCAAATGAGAATTTATATAATTTAACATTAATTTATATTTTCTCACTTAATAAATCGAATTAATAAATCTTAATGTACCGAAATTGCGTACAATTTTGTTTAACATGCGTAAAAATGAATTCGAAATAAATGGACAGAACAGATTTATAAATATTAAATAAGTAAATCGAATCTAAAAGTGCATTATGTGGTATCTCATTTTTTTCATGTCGTTCCACTGATCCATTCGCTATTTGGCATTCACATAAACATATATATTTATGTGGATATATATGTACATACGTATGTACATAGTGTGTAGTTGCACGATTTTCATTATCTGCAAGAAAAAAGTTTCACTATTTTATTTACTACGGATGAGTTTAATCAATTAATACTGTGCAATTAAATAGTTTGCATGGCTTCATGAAATCTCCTCTATGTGAGAGATACATATGTACATATGTACATTCATATGTATTTCCATATATATGTATGTATCCAATCTACACTTCAAGGTATACAAACATATGTATGTATGAGCGCAAATACATTTAATCAAAACAGGGACCAGCACATGTGCACGTTCATGCTAAGTATATGCATTTTATTAGTAAGTAAATATATAGCATAAAAACATACGTATTATGTGCATTATTTAGAAGTAGGTATATACATGCATACATATTTTTATTTCTGTTTTACATATTTATGTACATCTGTACATATTTACACAGTGCGCAACAAGTTCGCGCGTGTTTCTCCTCTAATCTAGAAACTTTGGGAATCAAAATCATATCACGAATGAGCTTTCCAGCGTCAAAAATGATTACTTAAATGCGTGTCGATCAGTCGTACATATGTATGTACATATATATGTAAATAGGTTCGCTTAATTACTTCATATCAATTTGGTCAAATACTGTTGTTGTGTAAAATATCGTATAATATTTTGTACACATATATTTACCCCGCCTTATTTAATCTTTAAAAAGAATTTTATCATAAACTCGCCTCCACACGTGGAAAACAATAAGTTAAAAATATTTTCATCAGAATTAATTTCTTTCTCAATTCCGTCATGCACTTTATTGAAACTACAAGTAATTCCAAATTTCGTACCTTGAAGCTTTACATTTTCAGAAAAATGTTGCTCAAAATATATTTCGCTATTTTTCTCCAAACCATTTCCGTCACCTCAAAACCCGGCCAAGTCAATATTTCCCACATTGATCGGTTATTCCCTCACCAATCCGTATTAAATATCATGGGCGATTTCAACACCTCACATCCTAAGCTTTTTGACTACAAACTTTTCAAATTTTTACAACAAAATTTGAAATTTTCTAAAGTATTGCACCCTCTTCCAAACAATGATATCGAACACAGTTTGCAGTATCAGAATTGTAGCCACAACCAGTACACTGACAACCCAAAATATTATTTGCACTACGCCACCAAGATTTTTGTCATATTTCTCCCCAAAATAGAGCCCCAAATGTTTTACGACCTCCAAAACAAATTAAATTACTGCGGAGAGAATCCAACATATATGTTTCTCATATTATCCACGATACAAAAAATTGATATTCATGCGTGGGCGGGGCAAACGACAAGTCTGTTCGTAATGCATCATCCGTCTATTATTTCCGACCTAGTTCACATCTATGTTATCTGTCACACCTGCCCAGTTCAACTGGTGGAGGTTCCCGCTGAAAGTGTAGACGACATCAACGCCCTCTATGCTTACTGGAAGCGGGAAAATTCAAACCTACATCACTACCATATCCAGGCATACGCCTCAGTATCCTTCGACCCAAATAAATTCACTTGTAGAGCCATCAAACGGGGTAACCGCGCCTTTTCGCACGTGCTCACATGCGCCCAATTAACCCTTGGGGATAAGTATAATTACACCGATGTTAAAATACCTGGACGCCAGTATCCCCCCGACGAACCAAGGGCTTATCCCGATATCTTGTACAACATGGCCGTTACAAAGCAAACTTTCGAAGGCATCTTGCACCCCGTTAGAACATTGTATTCTTGGCTGCCAAATTGTGGAACGATCTATCAGTTTAAATTGGCTGTCGTGACATTCGAAAAGTTGAAAGTGGATGGTGTTCAGGGTATCACATTGCCCCTCGATGTCTACACGTGGGCCGCGTCGGGGATTAGCTTTATTCTCATATCCATCTTATTGGGGGGAATTGGCTACAAGAAGTCTGGGGTAGTGAGAGATTGTGTCTCAAATTTTACTCAATGCGCGTACTGGATCTTCTGCTGTTTGTGTGGACAGTACCACGGAACTCCGGCAATTTTAAGTGTGACGGCGCTTTCCTGCGCGGTATTTGTGATTTTCTGGGTCGTAATGTTCTTCCTCGTGGGGACAGTTTTCTATCAGGGGGCCATATTTTCATCCCTGATTGCGATGCAGCCACCAAGCTTCAGTTCAGATCTGGAATCCGTGGTGGACTCAGAAATTCAGATTATTACTACAACATATAGATATACTAACCATCATGGATACGGCTCAATGTTGCGCGACTTACTCAGGGACGAAATTAGCATTATGACGAAAAGTGACACGGGACTTCTCCGCATACTTTCCAAGCTAAATAAGAGTGTTGAATTCATCCCTACTCATTCCTCTTTTACCGTGGGGCTTAATATTTCTGAATCATGGCGTGTGCAATTTGACTCTGGAGAAGTTAAAAAAGCTGCGGATACGTTTGCAGTGCTAAATTTGGAGGGTGATTTAGCCGAAATATTGGCCGGGATAGGGTTGAAAGGGGATCCTCACATTGTAACAAGTTTAGAAGAACCAATATTTTTTCTACAAAATCCGATCCTGGTGAAACGCTGGTTTTTCTATCCCTTCATTTCCCATGGGTTTGGTCAATTGGCTCAGTCAGGATTGTATGATTTTTGGATAGAACTTACCAGTTTTTCGGAATTGATGAATACAGTGAGGAAATATACGACGGACGAGCTGTATCGTAAAGTGGTAATTACTCGGTTGTATAAAGTAAGAAAAGAAATTGTGTTTGAAGAGGAGAAATCCGTATCGGTTTCTGCTTTGGACAGCGTTCCTCCGCTGGTGGGAGTACTTTTTGGGGCTGGATTACTGATTTTTCTGGGTGAATCGATTAAATGGCAGGGGTTGCGATACTTGTTTTTGAAATGGAGACAATATGCTGCTGAAGTGGCGGGATGTTTTCGCCAGATCCATGGACTTTTAAATGAAACATTAGGATGAATTTTATTCGAAATTGTCGCTTGGTGTCCAGGGCTGAAAACCAGCACTTGTGCTGACGCTCATACGACACCATTAATAAAAACTTCAATCAATCAATCAATCAATCAATGAATTGAAATGATGAGTATGTAAGTACTTATGTATGTATCTATTGTAATTCCTGTAGTGGAGCTATCAATTTGTTTAAATATGTAGGCCTATTTGTAACTCAGATAAGGTTAAACTAATTGTTAGATTTAAATAACGATATAAACAATAAAGCGTAGGATAAATGTTATAAGCATGTAAATAGGTATGTAAAGTATAATTGAAGATGGTGATTTTAAAAATACTAAAATAAATTATTTTTATGAATTCATGGCAGTACACGTATGTAGATTTATGACCATACACGCAAATTTTGCTATATAGGCACTTTGCAGACATACATAAATATGCGCACATGTATGAAGCACTATTTTTTTGTATAAACACTGAACCGCAGTCAATTTTTTTGTTCCAGTTAAAGGCGTAGGTATTCCCGTAAACATTGTTATCTATCAACTTCCTCATATTGTTATGTAAGTAACCCAGGAAACGAAAAATGACTTATCGTGCTAATTAATTTCACACGTAGCATTTTACTGCTAAGTAATAAATTATCCCGATTCAGTAAAACCCAGGAATTTATTAATTACATGGAATAACGAAGGGTGCCAGTCATGGAGGCGTTTCTTCTGCAGCAACGCCTTTTTCTATTATTTGCAGTCCTACTGGTTCTCCAAGCAGGTAAAAATGTAATATGTGTACTAGAAATATAATCGTTACCTTGCAGAGTTACTAGGCCGCTTGGTTATAATTTCTCGCCAAATGATAAATATCATTCTCAAATTAATTACGGTGTCAATGTTGAATATAAATTTTCCCGAACATACGGTTTCCTTCCATTTGGCAACATCTACGTAATTATGAGTATCCAGTATCCATATGACCGAACATCAGACTAGCAAAAAATAATGTTAACATTTCTACGATTTATTTTTTCTTAGTACATAATTAATTCATGATGATTTTTTGGTCTCACTTTAAATATCATATAGGTATGAGTCAGGGTCTCCGTCGCACTTATAAAGTTCGAAGGTATAATTTCGACGAGGATGAAAAATCTGCAGAATCTTCAGGTAATTATCTTCATCTTCTTAATAATCTTCAGGTAGTAATAAATTAGTGCTAACCCGAACAGTTTTTTTAGTGCAGTGCAAGTTAATCTATATAATTTATTCATATTTATGTCATAGAATCCGAAGAACCTGATGAGGATGAGCACGAAGCAAAGCACTCGGGTAACTTGAGTAACAATGAGTAATACCTGGGTACTGTTTTTGACAATTACTTTTCCAGTTAAACACCAGGGTCGCGGCCTTCTCACCGACATCGGTGATGGACTTCACTCCTTTAGCAACTGGATTTTCGGAAAATATTTTTGCCCATTCGACAGGAGATGGTATTATGATCCCCTAGAGTACAATACTCACTGTGGCGAATTTAGATTATTTAGCATTCCGAGACAAGGATATGAGACGGGAACGGGAATGGGAACGGGAGCGGGAACGGGAATGGGACCGGGAATGGGACCGGGAATGGGAATGGGAACGGGAATGGGATGATTATTATTAGTGATAACGTCATTGCACATATGACATTAATCAGCACTTTAAGAGTTCGTAAGTTTTGATATGGAAATAAAGTGTTTGTGTAAAAGATTTTGAAATTTGACTCAAACCTGTTATGTACAGGCCTGCCAAAATTAGTTAAAAATCAAATTACAATTATCTATGTATGTATGTATATCATAGTTCTGTTATAAATTCTAAATTACAATTACGACTACAAAATGTAAATTATGTCTTTGAATTATAATTAAAATTATTTTCTGACGTATTTCGTATTGAGGCAATTGTCTCAATACAATTTTCATATATGAATGCATACTTTAGTGAAGTGTGTTATCTAGTTGTACTTATCTACATATGTACATTAACTGTGCGAGTGGTACAGATATATACAGATATGTATGCTATGCCCTGATTACTATTAAATATTCATTTACACTCTCTACATAAATAAAAATCGTGTACATTTTACTCAAGTAAAATAGTCATTGACAAAACAATTGGGTAAAATTTATTCAACGCTTGGACACATTTTACGGAACAGTGAATAAATTTTGCCCCATTTTTGTATACCATCCCCTATTTTACTCTGCCTTGAGTAAATTTTACACAAATTTATTTAGTGTAAAAATAATTGTATATGCGAGCCGGAATTGGGCTGCAATTATGGGGAAGTAAGCATATTATAAATACAGGTATTCCGGCTGAATAAGAAATTAAGACATTTAATCCGCTTCCCGCATGTTCTGAATAATTTAACATTTTTCGCACAGGTGTAACCGGCCACCTTGCTCAAATGAGTATGCATAATTATCCAATTATCATAAACTTTCAGATGAAACTTTCACATTTACCCCAAATAATTTATTTGCAGAATTACATGAACATAGATGGATAGCCCACGTTCGGTGAGTGTTATGACCTTGAATTGTCCTCTCGTTTTGACACATCATTAATGTTTCCACTCTTTTTTTAGCTTCGTCGGTTATAATCCGGTGGTAGAATACTTCTTTAGTGAATCATTAGGTAATTTCAGTATTTTGTTGCGGAAATATTATATGCACCGTTGAAACGCACACTTACATACTTGGTTTCTCATTCTACCCAAAGTTCATTCCCATTGACTGGAAAAATGACGCCACGAATTAACCGGAAATTTGCACATTTTCCACTATTTCTTATTATACTTTCCAATTTTTCGAATTCCCTGGGCACCCCCAATTTTGGCACATTTGCACAACCCCATCTCACCAACATAATATCCCAAACGCACCCCTGTATCACCCACATTGTCCATCACAACTTGGATTTCCATAACTACGACCAAGCCAAAGGTGTCCATCCCATCGTCACATTTCCAACCCCACCCACCCTCTCCTGGCCGGAAGGGTTCAATCATCTCGTAAATACGACAAAGAAACATGACCACGTCCGCCAAACCCTTCATCACCAAGGCTTCTGCCACTTTTTCCTCTTCTACGCAAATCCACCCTTTGACCCCGAAACCCTCGGACACCTCTTGCGTTTCCACATTTTGCTCTTCTACCCACTCGAAAATATTAGAATGACCTTAAACTATCAAACGTTTCTAACCCCAAACTGCTACGCCTTATCGGTTACCAATAATATATCCAAGGAGAACGCATTGTACGCATATCTTCTGAAAGAAACTGAGACAAAATATAACACCTTATCAATAGTGCAACATTTTGGGGTCCTCCTGCTGCCCAGGGATCCTGCTCCGGCTACGATATGTACCCACTCTCCAAAAATGTCGCCACCGGTGTATGCAAATGTACAATGTTCGAGCGAACATGGTAGCCAAATAATGAATCGAATGAGAGCAACCGAAGATCAAAACTTATTCCTCATTGGGATCGGATTTCCCGGGATTTCTTCCGACAGCTGGAAAAAGGCGGCTGGTGTGAAGCGGTTAAACCAAATTCAGGCGGGAGATATGTACATCCTTCTCATAGCGTTAGGGAAATCCCTAAACATCACACTGAAAAACCGGTGCCAAGACTATGAAACGTACGAATGCAATATGCCCCAGGTTTGGGCAGATATTTCGACGCAGTGGTGGGAACAGACAATTTGGTATTCTTCAACGGTGGTTACTGGATCAAAAAACGTGCATTTCTTGACGTGCAACTCGAAGACGGAGAGTAGCTTAAACCTTTATGCGAAACCGTTTGATGGGGTAACTTGGACTGGGGTGGGTCTATCAGCTCTAGTGGTGACCGTTAGCCTTAAATTGATAAGTGTTGAACAAGCTAAGTTGGGCGGGATGGCAAAATGTAGGAATGGGCTGGACACGTTTATTCTACTGTATTGGGTGATTGGCACGCTACTCGAACAAATCGAAACAGTTGGGATGAAAGTGGGACGCTATTCCGCATTCCGAATCCTCGTCGGAGTTTGGATCTTGGTCTGCACCGTGATGACACATGGGTATAGAAGTTTGATCATTATGAGTTTAAATTCACCGTTGGGACTCGTTTTTCCCGACACGTTTGAGGTGAGTTTGTTTAATTTCATGTAAATCAATCCTTATCGTTTAAACGTTACACTGAGAATGGAGAGAGCAGGGGTGAACGCCGCTGATAAATCTGAAAGCCTATTATTTTAACATTGGAGTGCCGCGCCACGCCGTCGAAAAATCATCAAAATTCGGCGCCGCGGGAAAATTGTTAGGCGTTGACCTTTGTCAGGTGAACCGCAACAAAAATTTCATTATAAGTTCATAAATATGTATTTCTTTACCGTAGGAAATCTCTTGTCATGCTGGGCCTCTCCCACCCTTCCCAATTAATTTCCAAAATAAATGGGACATATACGGTAGCACATTTACTCTAAACACTCATTTTCATTAGGAACAAGCTGTATAAGCGTTCTCACCAAAATATATATGTACGTATTCTCTTCTATTTTAAGATATTTCTCACCCGCTGTACTTCCATCAAGTCATAGTATTTAGACTTCTTTACCCGAACGTAACTAAATATCGAAGATCTGTTATCACCAACGCATCCTGCTACAGTACCCTTTCAGCTCCAAGGATTGCATCAATTCCATTGTTGGACTATTTCAGCGTAGAAAGTTACTCTTTCCACTATTTTTTCGCACCTACAAGTTTGTCTGCATGGGCAGGTAAATCCTCCGATTTGCCTTTATTAAAACGGCTCTTAGATCCGAGACAACGCCCATTTCCTAAGAAGCTTATCTCTTTTCTGGAGAAACCTAAGGAAATTCCGTATGCACAAATTTGGCCCGCAATTGAGGAGGAATTACTCCTTTGTGGAAAATCAGTGTACGTTGGAACCAAGCAGGACACAGAATCATATAAGGATTACTTACAAAAGAAATATCCCACCGCGAAAAAATTTCACATAAGTCGAGATCATATTCGTGTTGCAGTCAAGTTATGGAATTTCCCGACCGATCAGACTCATAAATTGGTGCGAGGCTTTAAGAATTTCTTGGATTTTGGAATTTACAACGAAATACTTTGGTTTGAGAAGTACAATCATGTCGGAAAGAATAACGTGAGCGCAGATGTAGATGAGACAGATCTTAACGTTGTAAGTCAGCAGTTAGCACGTGGGAAAACCAGTGAAGGGATGCAAATCGTATTTTTAGCTTGGATAGGAGGACTCGGAATTAGCGTGATTGTTGAAATTGCGTACCGAATTTTCGAATGGAGAAGATTAACTGTAAATAAGGTGACGAGGTTATCAATTCAGACGGTATATATAGAGTAATTGAGTTGGTTAGAGATTCCGTGGCACATATATCTAGCTCTTATTATTATGTATGTACATATTTACATAAATATTCGATTGCTCGACATAATACTGTGCGAAAGTTAACCAATCAACCAAATCAATCAACTCCGACTAGTCGATTTATGTACATGCATATGTATTAAGAGGTGAAATGAAATGCTACCCCTTTATGGAAATATTTTGTTTGCATGTATCCACGATATTTAGGATGGATACTAATTTCCAGATACGGCTTTCACCAACGTGTTTATACTTTCTGTAGGAGTTGCATAAGTCCGCAGATGGACGTTATGTCTGAAACTTCACATCTGTCTCGATTTATGTACATATTCAATGACGAATATGTCGAACCGGTATACTAAAATAACTATATCTGTATCCAGAGAGACATTAAATGTATACAAGGCTTATCTCGAAACTAACTATGTATAATTTATAATTATACATTATTTTATAATTTTATAATTAGATGCGTAAACAAACAGTTTATATGCACATATGTATATACGTACATATTTAAATGCTACATAGATATTTGCATACATATAATATGTATAAATAAATACACCTGCATATATACATACATAGCTCATTTTTGCACATATAAATATGTTATGTATACTGTACATATATACATATATTTATCTCTCACCACGCAAGTTACTTATCATAAGATGTTGCATTGCAGTTACATACATAAATACTTGCTATTTAACCCAAGAGGAAAGGGTTACCTGGCATTCATCCATCCTTATGCATACAGGTTTATGTGCATACATACTTACACATCCCACTGCTTAACCGGTTTTCCCACGTAAGATAACGTACATGCACATAGTCCAGGAGATGCTCATAACACGGATATTCTTTTCCATACCGTGTAAAATGATTTAGTGAGAGCACATTACGTAATTCCCCACTCTCATCTTCACCGTATGTACATATGGACTTGTGTACATATGCACTCTCCAACCTGGACAAGATTCTCACCAGTCATGTCATGTCAGCTGGCGAATCTCCGCAGTATAAATTTAGTCAAATAAAACTTAATACATAAATTTAGTTGTACAATTGGCCTTAAATCTTTAAAAATTTCTGTAAAAAAAATGGACACATCCGTTCTCATAGTCTCTTCTGGTTACATATTCGCGACCGCATTTCTCGTTGCAGTCACAAGAAGCATACTTTTGTCCTTTGTCACATCGCCATTCTTGCAGAGGGCGATTCTCGAATTTTTAGCGACTTTCGAATTTCTGGCGACCGTTTTTGAAATAGGGATCCGTAAGCGCAAATTCAAAATTGCATGGAAGAAAGAAATAATTAAATTAATAAATACTAATTATGTATTTGCAGTTTTGCAGACTTACGGCCTCCCAGCCTTCGTGATTGCGTTAATCATCATGGCGAATTATTGGGGCAGGTCGTGGCGTGGCGCGACGGCTGCGCCACACAATCACATCGTCGACATGATTAAGGGTAACGGGAGTAAAGTGGAAAGCGTAGGATTTATTTTGGCAGAAATTTTCGCAGCCAGTTTAGTATTCCCGTTTTACGTAAAGCAATACTGGGGACTGGGATTCTTGCCGATTCACACAGCCAGATTGGCCGGGGTGGCGTCGTGTTCTTCATTTCTGAAGGTGTGATAGTGAAGTTTGTCCTTAATTTTTGCAAGAAATTGAAAAATGCCATGTTAAAATATACGTATTTTTTGCAACATTAAGTGCAAATTGGCATTTGTCAAATTTTTAGCAATATTTTTAGGTCGGCGTGTACAATGGAGCATTTCTCGAGGCCTTTGGAACCCTTGCGTTCAACATTTGTGCACGAATTCTGCGAACGCTGCAGTACAATTTCGTCACAGTACCGGGAGCTCTCGCCGCGATTAAAATTGTTGGTAAGGAAAATAATGTACCTGAATGACGACAAATTAATGTATGTACAAAAGGTGCGAATTTGTACACATTTTTATATACGTTGCAATTCTACCTTGTCTGTCGTAACTCTGGACGCGCCAACTGCTTAATGCGAGTATATTTATGTACATTAGTACAAAAAAACATGCAATGTTTATGTAGCTCTGTTAATACGTAATTCAGAAATTACCGGTCAGAAAATACGAAATCTTCACGAAGATTGGGTGCATACGAGTGATTCGTGTCATGCATTCAATTCCATTTTTTGATTTCACAAGCTTTCTACTTGGCATGGCAGGTGATACTGATACTTTTGATTATTAGACAATCAAAAAATTGGATTTTTAAAAGATTTTCATGAGCACATAAATAAACCGAGCTTCAGTAAAAATTGTAATCATGTTTTACATTAAACACGCACAGTGGCCGCAAAAGCCGTGGGACATATGGGATAGGATATGGGAGGGAGGGGTTTATATAACTGGCCAGACGATGGGGACATCAAACAACTTGAGGTCCTGTTCCCTCTGTCCTCACCCTTTCGCGACTATTCAACATGCATGCAATTAGAATTCTGAACGTCTCGTCCTACAGAAAAAATCTCAATTTTTCATACCTGATATTTACGAATTAAAACATAATTCTAATTTTTCTCTGATCCTCAGGAATGTCTTTAACCGGCGGCTTCCTCAACCCCATCCTCGCATCGACATTGCAGTTCAACTGTGCGGGTAATGCGGTGTGGGAGCACGTCCTCGTCTACTGGTTGGGTCCGGTCGTCGGATTGACCGTGTTCACCATGTTGCTGTATCCCGCCAAGCCGCCCAAACCACAAGAGACTGCGAAGGATGACAAGACCAAGGTTGACAAGGAGGGGAAAAAGAAGGCTAAAAAGGACGATTAAAATGACAATTGCTTGAAATATGTATGCATGTAAATTACTTAGTGTTCAATCCTCTTGTCAAATTAATTTTCAAACTGAAAACAAAAATTGAAGTGATATTTAGCTCAATAATTAAAACGAAGAGGGCAAAATACATGACACGACAAGGTAATATGGAAATAACTAGTCCCAGACACTTAAAAAGGCGATATTTTCACTTATTTCAATTTTATTATCCATCAAATTCATCAATTGAAGCTAACATCTTTCAAAAGAAAATTACCATATGCTAAACTCATACGAAATACGTACAAAAATAGCCGGAAATAAAAAATATCCCCCAATCAATCAGTGAAGAATTCAATCCCAAATTTTTTCAAGTTTTCCGGCAGTGTGGGATGATCTCCTGCCCGAACATGTTCCAACGTACCGGCATGAAGACGCAGTGCCGCGACAAGCGAATGAGGGGCCTGGATTTTTGAACAATTGTACGGCCTTTTTTATAGCCATTAAAATTTAGAACCAGTCTGGCCAAAATCAGGGTTTCGACTGGTAGAAACTCACATTTTCAGGAAAATGGGAAGAACACATTTTTCATATATTTTTCCCATTGCCCTTCAAAACTTAATCAAAATCGCTAGATAAATGACCGAGAAATCGAATTATGTATGTTATTAGCTTGGGGTTACAGAGCAGAGATGTAAGGTGATTATCTCCTATTACGACCGGACTAATTTTTATTGTTGAAGCATCAAAATCAACCTACCAATATTTTTGCGTTTTCTAGAATGTGCATTGTATTTTCGCCTGTGGCGGTATTATTACATTTATTAAATTCACTTTTCGAATTTTAACCCGATTTCAAAAGTTAAGCACGATTCTTGCTCAGAATTACTCCCCTGTAATTATTTAAATTCATTTTTAAAAACTTCTAAAATCTAAAATTTTCATGTTATGCCTGCATCATTAAAAATGCATAAAAAATTGAAAATTAAAACTATTTTAAAATGGCTTCACTAAAAAAAATACCGGCTTGAGTTTGACATTTTAAACATCTTTTAAATTTAATATTTCTAAAAATTGAAGTATGCCGTGCCCATTAACTTAAGCCCTTTTTGAAAAATAATTTTAATAATAAAACGGAAAGAATGACTGTAGACAAATTTTAATCATGTTAGCTGTGTGTATTTTACGATTTAAGTACAGTCCTGAAAACTCCCAATTCTCAATTGTTAACTCTGTTTCGAATTTTTTGCCCAGCGCTCGCAGTTATGGCTTGTCCACTCGTTTTGAAACTTTCTTGGTAGTCCCACTGCAAGTGCGAAAAAAATGATGGACGTTTTTGGCTACGTTTTTTCTGGGGGAATGTTTTCTTTCATATAACGCCCAAAACCTTTCTATCGGATGAGTTTGGGGGAGTTTGGAAGCGTTTTCCCTTTCAAAAAATCGACTTTTTTCTGTCAGCGCCTTTTTTTCTGACAGTTCGTAATATCACGAATTTTTTTGTGCGTCATTGTACTTGGGGGCTGAAATTACTTACAAAGTCTTCATCCCTAACTTGATAGCTTTCGTCTGACGTATGTACGACTTTGATAAGGTGCCACAGCACGGCTTAAAACATTTACATTGGTCATAAACGCTTTCTCCAGCTTTCTTCACATTTTCTTCGTCGCTGGACAGCAGATCTGAAACTAAGATTTTTAAAAGTATTTGTTTCTTGTTCCCCATATCTGTTTAGTATTGTGTAATTTTTGTCCGCTCGAGATCCACAGCGTGGAAGTCGTGTACTGCCTTTTTCCTGTCTTTCTTGAGTGCTTGCTGCTTTTTAATTCGCATTTCTGAACCAAACAAGCTACAAAAAAAACTGATTACAGATTCTGATTACGCCTGAAATTGCGCTAAAAGTATCGCATAAATATAATGAAATTAAAAATTATTTGAGTGCATTATGTTAGTCATAAGGGAAAGGGCTTAAATTAATGCGCACGCCTTACATCCTTGATGTCTGCATAAGATTAAAGTTCATAAGTTCGGGAACATATAAAAGTTTTGTAGTACTACGCTGAGTTCGAGAAATTTTTGAAATTTACTTAAGTAATAAAATGGTAAAAACAAGCTAACAGGAAGATAATAGATTAAACTAGGAAATACAAATAACCAAGATACAAATTTGAAGAACAAAAATATGGATTCCTCAAGGAAAAATACATACATGAGCCTAAACAGTAATGGGAAGCCTCGGGCACTTTGAAGATATTGAGGTCGAGCCCAGTGAGGTCTGAAGCCTATATTTTGAAAACTAACGAGGCCGAGACCGGCCGCACTGACGCGTAAGATTCCCGATGAGAGGCCGAGAGGTCGTTGGCCTCACTTTTAAATGGAGAGGCCTATAGCCTCTGACCAGAGGCCTAGGCCTAAATTGTGAGGCCAGGGTCTTGAGAAATTACAAATTACAAATTTGGCCGTAAAATGACCAAATGTCTAAGAAAAAGTTTCAATATGTAATAACTAGTGGGTTAGAATGGATTCAGATCAACTCACTATGCAATTGAAACTAGCATAAATTAAGTTCTTCATCAAAACTTCATGATTTCAGTAGTTTTATCATAAAACCTCATTTTATCTAGTGCATGGTCAGGCCCAGTACGGCCCTTCGGGCCGTACGGCCTGGAATCCATTATCCAGTCAAATCCACCTTTGTCGCGGCACTGTGAAGACGACAACATAAGCGCACTTCTTCTGCCCATTTTTCTAGCACCACCTTTTCCTTTTCCATTCTCATACAACAAACCAAAATTCCTGCTGCAAGGTCGGGATGCATTGCGTTGGGTGGGACGTTCCGATACACGGCGTAAATTGTCTCCAAGATGTGCAAGCAATCGGAGTACATACATTTATCTAGCAACACGAGGGAAGCGATGGCATGAATTCCTGAATATGTCATGGGAAAATTCAGGTCTGGCGTGGCAGCACGATCCTTCTCGACCTGGGTGATGGTTTCCAAGTCGCGGATAAGATTGCGGGGATCAAAGTGGTACTGATTCGTGGTCGGGTTAAAGGCAAGACTTTTGAGCAGCTTGTCTCTCTTTGCGATTACAATGGGACTTTCAGATCGGTCCAGTTCGCATAGTCGACAACGGCAGATAAAACCTTTTAAATTAAAAAAAATGAAAATTTAACTCTACAATACGAACTTTCTCCGTTTTGGATTTTTTAAACCGGTTTCCGTTATTTTTAAATTCAAATAATTTCCCAAATATGATTAAGTGGAATTTAAAATCCGACAAACATTATTAATTAAGCATTCGCTTAGAGAACAACTATTTCAGAGAAATTAATCATTCATAGCAAGAAATGTAAAATTCTAGCTCAGAAACAATTTTCATTACAAATAATTTAAAACTTGGGTTACGAGTTTGATAAAACCGGTTAATTCGAAATCCGATTTAAAACCGTTTTAAAAATTCCAAAATATAAAAATTTCATCATTAATTACCATACTCCGGGCAAATATTTTTTTATCCTACCCTACTCGTGTTGAGCTCAACACGAGTAAGTATACTATCCAAGTCAGTGGGGTATGTTAATTACTCACCATGAGTTTTCATAAAATCTCTTCTAGCCAACGGCATCAATGGATTTCCATAACTTGCAATAATTTCTCCTCCTTCTTTCACCTTTTTGAAAGTAGTCACTATCATGACAAGGGCGGAATCATGATGACGATACAAAACGTTGGCGTCAATGCAGCTGTGCTTTATTTTCGACGGGGGATCCAAACACCGCAAGAAAAGAATCCTCCTTGACAAAGTTAGCTCGAGTGGAGTTACACTCATAAATCTTCTTGATTCGAGCAACGTTAACCTTCGTAATTTTGGAATCTTCATTATCTATCAAGGACTTGAGGTCTGGTCCAGCCCACATTTTGTAAAGGTCGCGGCCAAGTGAAGGATCCAGACGGATCTTATTTGCCATAACACCAACGATGTATTTCAGGGTGGATGTGTTAAATGAAAATGCACTTTTTTCTCGTGGGCTGACATACAGCGCGGCGAAGGGTTTGCTAATCAGGAGGACTGTTCCAGGTTCGAGATCTTGAGTAGCAAAGTATCCATCGCCTTCGCCAATGCTACTCTTCCCGAGTTGCTCCCAGATTTTGATCAAATTCGATCAAGCTATTAAATACTTAGTGCCAACGTTTTAATACTTTTGGACTACATATTTTATTTTAATTTTTAATTTCACCGAACAAAATATAGCTGCTGCATTTTACCAATTTATACATTTTTTTTACAAAAGTAGAAATAGCCGAGGAAAATTTAAAATGTTATTATTCAAATATGTTTAGCTTCCCTAATTAATCAGTATCGGTGAAGTATTCAATCCCAAATTCTTTCAACTCCTCCGGAAGCGTGGAATAGGCTCCTTCACGAATATATTCCAAAGTGCCGACATAAAGACGGCAATGTTTCCTTAGTTCTTCCACCCATTTTTCCAGCTCTGCCTTTTCCTTGTTCAATTCCATACAACAAACCAAAATGCTTGCGACAAGGGAAGGATGCTGATGGTTGGTTGCGAAGTTCTTGAGGACGGCGTAAATCTTCTCCATGATGGGCAAACACACGGAATAGTGACCTTCATCTACCAATATCATGGCGACAATCACATGGATTTGAGGATTCACTAAGGCCAAATTCAGGTCGGGCGTGGAAGCAAGAAGACTTTCCAGTTCGGCGATTGCCACCAAGTCGCTGGGTTTAATTTGGGGACAATATGGGTTCGGTCCAGTTCGCATAGGCGACATTTGCAGACACACCCTGCAAAAAATATACAAGAGGAAAGTTTTTATTTGTATAAATGCAAACTACATGTGAAAAAATCTCGCTGAAATATGTTCTTAATATTTAAGGACGATAAGAATATTATAAAATATTTACGAAAAAAACGTAAAGACGATTTTAAAGTAAAAGTACAGGGATTGGTGTAGTGAAATTACTCGAAGTCCACTGTTCGTTTCAGTACCATAATTTTTTTAGCAGTTTCTCACCCTAAAATTTCATCAACGATTGACAAAATTAACATAATTTTGAAAAATACAGACTACCTGCACTTGAACTTACTCATAATTTCCATGCACTTTTTTCTTTCCAACGGCTCCAATGCTTCAATATAGCTCGCCAGAATTTCTTCTCCTTTCTTCACCTTTTTGAAAGTAGTGACCATCATGATAAGACTGATATCATGGTGATGATACATAACGTTAACATCAATACAGCTGTGATTTATTTTCGACGGGGGGATCCAAACACCGCAAGAAATGAAAGTTGCGGCGCGGTCAGAGTTGCGTCCGCGGTAGTTAATGTTGCAAATATTTCGGATTCGAGCAATGTCAACCTTTGTGATGTTTACGTCATTATCCGTCAAAGATTTGAGGTCAGGTCCAGCCCACAGTTTGTAAATGTCTCGGCCAAGATCGGGATCCAGCCGGATCTTGTTTGCCATAACGCCGACGAGATACTCGTGAGTGACAGTGTTTAATGAAAATGTTGGCTTCTCCTGTGGGTCAACATACACTCCGGCGAAGGGTTTGCCAACAAGGAGAATTGTTCCAGGTTCGAGATCTTGCGTGGCAAATAATCCTTCGCCCTCGGCAAAGCTGCTCTTCCCGATTTCAACTGGTCCCCGAAATTCGGAGATACGGTCAACCAGTTCGACCGGTAAAGGTGGCTGAGGCCCGGCAGACGTTCTTGGTGGAGGCCTTCGCACCCCACAGATAAGTTCTTTTCCGGGTGGTTTTCCCAGTTCAGGAATCAGCGATCTGGATGAAATTAAAATTTTCAATTCCAATCATTAAATTGTAGATAACTTTGGATTTTAAATAGCACCTCAATCTGAGAATATCTTTACTCTCTTCTCCAAGCGATGGGTATTCGTTCAGCTTTTCGTCCAGAAATTTGCCACCTTCAGCGTACCGTCCAAGTCCAATGAGAGCTTTGGCGTGACGATAGATCGCCTTGACATGAGCATTGTTGATCTCAAGGACTTTTCCAGTGCAGATTAAGGCTGGATTAAAACATTCCAATTTAATCAGACAGGCCGCCTTGTTGGACAGAATGTCCACTACGAGTGTCAACGCTGCTGGAGTCATCTCCTCCTCAAAACCAGGCAAGTATTCTAGGGCAACATCGTAGAATCTGATGGCATCAGTTGCTCGATTTTCGACGAAAGCCTTGTTTCCAACATTCTTCAGTTTGGTAGCAGTCTCAAGGTCACTTTGGCCAGGAGGGAATTCCCAAACGAGTGGAGAATCGAACAGGGCTCGAGATTCCTGAGGCAGATCTGATTTCCAGTGGACACCTGGAAATGACATTTACATATTGATAAGTTAGATTACACACGAATCCGAATATGTCCAAAAATATTACCAGAAAAGAGTGCTTCCATTCTCTTTGGACTCAGCAACTCGACATCGGCCGGATTATCAACAACCAGTCCAAAGCTAGGCATTTGGGGAAAAGGCTTTTTAAACACGGGATTCTTCACGATAAGCACCGTCCCCAAGGGGAGGACCGCCTCGAAATCAGATTTGACCATTTTAGCATCAATCGAGTAATTGTTGAGAGCCAGTCGCATGACTTTCTCTCCTTCGAGATCCTCCACACCAGCGTCCACTCCTTGCATCTTGCTCGACGCGGTTATCGTTCGACAAAGTAAAAACTTCCCCTTCAAGATCTTCAGGAAAAACAAAGTATGATAATTAAATCATGACTTTACTCAACTTTTGACCTGTCATCACGAAATGTGTCTCTCACCTGTCCCACATTCTTCACCAGCGTGTCGATACTGACACAATTTTCCATTTTCAATTCCACCCCCATACTCTCGTCGTAGGTGGGGTCGGCGAAGTGGGTCTCTGGAGATGATAAGATCATGTAATCGGTTTTTCCCAATTGCTGAAGCACTATTTTCATGTCAATGCGATCCCGATGGATTCCATTCATGACGGAAATGACGTTCTCTCTTGTTGTTGCGTAGCTGATAGCTTCGTCGTCGGTGAATTTCAAAATTTTCCTAGCCATGCACTCCTCCGGTTGAAGTTTTTCAGGAGTCACACTAGTCTGATCAGAGCCCTCCATGGCGTGGCCTTATTTTTTGCAGTGTACTCAAGGGGGAAGTATTTATCAACTTGGAAATATGTACAAGTTTTTATTCTGCTCTTTTCACTTTTTTTCTCGATGCTGCGGTGCGATTCCCTCGTTCGCTTTTGTATTTCTTGGTGCCCCGTCAAAGAAAAGCTTCTGAGATTAGGAATTGTTTTATTCGGCACTATTTTATTTTATAATCTTTATTTGCACCAAACTTAACATAGTTGTTGCATAGCAATTTATGAATATTGTGGGAGTAATTAAATAATATTTCCTCTATTTACATGGATTTTACTCAATTTCTCCCTCAAATGCAATGCCACCAATTTTAAATCACACGGTGGTTCAATTAAGTGGTTGAATTGCTAGTTGAATCTCACTATTTTAAATAATCAGGAAAGTTATGAAATCTCTTCTGGCCGTCCAATAAATTATACAAAGGGATGCATTTGAATTATTTTTTTTACTAGTTCCTGTGTCTCTTCTGCATCATGAATATGAATGATCATGATTCATGACCAGATTTCTCGTTTTCGTTTCGATTTATGTACATGTTCCAAATATTTATTTTTCTACAACTTGTTCGCAGGATGTAAACATATATATGTGTTCGAATAATGCAAAATAACTGAGGATGAGCCATGAATGTATGACAAACTAAATTACTGAAATGTCCAGACAATTACAACACATGGTAGTTTGTACATGATAATATGTAATTAACTAGCGCTAAATAAACCAGGAAGGTTTGTTTTTTATTATTATTAATTATTCCAATTTAATTATTACTTGGATTTTATTAGTCATTAAAGTAAGTTAAACACCGTTCAGAACCAAACGACAAAACTTAACCATACATAAAGTAGAAATTCCCGAGGAACATGTAAAATGTAATTATTCAAAAATGTAAAAAACGTGTATTTAGCATGGCTAATTAGTTATTTAGTCAACATCATTGAAGAATTCAATCCCAAATTTTTTCAACTCCTCGGGAATTGTGGGTTCACTTCCTTCACGAACTTCTTGCAAAGTGCCAGCGCCAAGAATGCAATGTTTCCTTAGTTTTTCCGCCCATCTTTCCAGCACTGCCTTTTCCTTTTCCGTTTTCATACAACAAATCAAAATGCCAGTGGCAATGATAGAATGCTGATGGTTGGTCGCGATGTTCCCGAAGACGGCGTAAATTTTCGTCAACATGGCCAAACACTCCACGTAACGTTGTTGTCCGAACAACGCGAGGCCAACGCCATGAACTCGAGGATCTGCCAAAGCCAAATTCAGGTCGGGGCTGCCCTCATGAAGATTTTCCAATTCCGTGATTGTTGCCAAGTCGCGTGCGAGAATGTGGGGACAAGATGGGTACAAATTCGTCATGGCGTCGAAAGCCAGACTTCCGAGGAGTTTCTCTCTCCTTGCAATCACAGCCGAGCTTTCTGATAGGTCAAGTTTGCAAAGGCGACATTTGCAGATAACACCTGCAAAAATATATAAAGGGAAAGCTTTTTACATGTATGTATAAATTCAACGGAATCATCGCGGAAACTAGAGGTGAGCTGGATCGTCATTTTTTGAGATCCAATCCGTCCAAATCCATTTCACCCAAAAAAATTCAGATCCAATCCATCCAAATCCAATTCACCCAAAATTTTTTAGATCCAATCCATCCAAATCCATTTGGCCCAAAAAATTTCAGATCCAATCCATCCAAATCCATTTGGCCCAAAAAATTTCAGATCCGATCCATCCAAATCCGATTCATCAAAAAAATTTAAGATCCAATTCATCCAAATCCAGTTGGATCGAATCAGGGCATGGATTATCCAAACAAATATATATATATTATATATATTTATTATATATATTTATATATATGTAGTATATATAGTATATATATTATATATACTCATAGTTAGTGTTCGGGATAAATCTGATTGGACGGTATATTTGTCACTGTGTGTGCCATGCAAAAGTATGGCCCAGTTACTGTATCGCAGTGTTAAAAAGTACACTTCCTGATATTCTTTATGGTGACGAAATTTATCCAATCGGACCAAATCCAATCCACTCAGATCCTATTCATCCAAATCCATTTCACCCAAAAAATTTGAGATCCAATCCATCCAAATCCAATTCACCAAAAATTTTTTAGATCCAACCCATCCAAATCCATTTGGCCCAAAAAATTTCAGATCCAATCCATCCAAATCCATTTCACCCAACAAATTTCAGATCCGATCCATCCAAATCCAGTTGGATTGGATCGGGCCATGCATTATCCAAAAAAAATGGATATCCAGCTCACCTCTAGCGGAAACATATCTTTACTGTTTAAGAAGAACTAGACAGTTATCAAATACGTACATAATTAGGAAAAATGTGAAAGGATTTGTAACGCTCCCTATTCGATTATGGGATTGCGTGTCCTGATTCACATCCACTTTCGCGGATGCCCTTTTTCTTTGTGATGTTGTGCAAGAAATTTGTAGTAGAAACTCACTTTTTTATAAGAATTATGATTAAATTTATTTACATCAATACCGACTGAAAAATATTGACTTTACAGAAATGCTCGTATTATGAATACGTGGGAGAGCTAATGCTATTATTTTAATTTTAACTAATTATCTAGAGAGGAACTTATTATTAAGTTTCCGAAGATTTAAACCTTGAACTTGATCTTGATGATCACTAAATCTAACCTGCTGATCTTGAATCTAAAACTACACTTTCCTTCTCTTCTCTCTCTGCTTACTCTATATATACGTGATCACATAAGCCACGCCTACTTGATCACTACCTTTACTTACGCTACATATGCACAAACTACGCCCTCATGATCATGATGACGTAGGCATCATTCTGTGCTCCTCATTCCTATCCTCTCTTCCCCTTCGTGATCTCCTCCTGCACACAATATGGTTTGGACACACATGAGAGGCGAGATACATATGAAAACTACATCTATGTATTTTGAATCCCTTGACCTTTGAAATGCTGATGTCACATTTGCATCAGCGTTCCAAAGGTTGCAGATTTAAAAAGAAAAGTGATTTTGTGTTTCAAATTTATTTTAATGATTCACTGGTTCGTATCTTTGCTTAAAATTTGTGATCCCAAATTTAATTATTGACAAAATTAACCTATTTTTGAAAAAATAGACCAACGATGATAATTACTCACCAAGACTGTCCATATAATCCTTTCTCGCTAACGGCTGCAATGGGTCAACATAGCTGGCCAGAATTTCTTCTCCTTTTTTCACCTTTTTGAAAGCAGTGACCATCAGCACAAAACTGGAATCGTGATGATTACACATAACGTTGGCATCGATGCAGCTGTGCTTTATTTTCGACAAGGGGACCCAAATGCCGCAAGAAATTAAAGCTTCGCGGTCTTTCTCAAAGTTGTTGCTGCGATGATTAATGTCACAAATATTTCGAATTCGAGCAATGTCCACCTTTGTGATTTGCATGTCATTCTCCGTCAAAGATTTAAGTTCAGGGCCAGCCCAAAGGGTGTAAAGGTCACGGCCGAGGTCAGGATCAAGCCGGATCTTGTTTGCCATAATGCCGACGAGATATTCGTGGGTGATGGCGTTCAAAGTAAATGCTTTCCTCTCCCGTGACTCAACGAACAAACCGGCGAAGGGTTTGCCAAAAAAGAGAATCGTTCCAGGTTCGAGATCTTGCGTAGCAAAGAATCCATCGCCTTCGCCAATGCTGCTCTTCCCGAGTTGAATTGGTCCCCGAAATTCAGAAATACGGTCTATCATCCCGACCGGTAAAGGTTCCTGAGGCTGATTCTGATTATGTATCACTTGTCGTGTCCCACCACGGCCATCGGTATTAAACTCCGTGTCTATGACCACTATCCGTGGGATACGGACCGCAATAACAACATTTTTTCCGGGCCGTTTCCCCAGTTCAGGAACGATTGATCTACATAATTTTAAATTAAGTTACATTCTACATCATAAAACAACTAAATATTGAAGTTGGTTTTTCTTCATATTTTGGACTTCAAATAACCTCAATCTGAGAATATCTTTATTCTCTTCTCCGCCGAGCTGACTAATCTTTTCATCCAGGAATTCGCCACCTTCGGAATACCGTCCAAGTCCGATGAGAGCTTTGGCGTGACGGTAGATCGACTTAACGTGAGCGTTCTTGATCCCAAGTACTTTTTCAGTGCAGACTAGAGCTGGATTAAAACATTCCAGTTTGATAAGAGCGGCCGCCTTGTTGGACAAGATGTCTACCAAGAGTGTCGAAGCTGCTGGAGTCTTCTCGTCTTCTCCCTCCACAGATAAGTACTCAAGAGCAAGGTCGTAAAATCGGATCGCGTCGGTTGTCCTATTCTCGACGAAAGCCTTGTTTCCCACGTTCTTCAATTTGGTAGCAATGTCAAGGTAACTTTGGCCAGGAGGAAATTCCCAAACGAGTGGAGAATTGAACAAGGCTCGAGATTCCTGGGACAGATCTGACTTCCAGTGGACACCTGGGGAAAAAGGTATTAACAAGTTATCTAAATCTGAATAAATCGTGTCCAAATATTACCTGGAAAGAGTGCTTGCATTCTCTTTTGACTTAGAATCTCCACATCGGCCGGATTCTCAACAATCAGTCCAAAGACAGGCATTACGATCAGTCCAATGATGGGCAATGCGGGTGAACTCTTTTTAAACACGGGGTTCTTCACGATCAGCACCGTCCCCAAGGGGAGGACGGCTTCGAAATCGGATTTCCCCATTCTAGCTTCAACCGAGTAATTGAATAAGGCAAGTCGCATAGCGTTCTTTCCTCCACGCCAGCGTCAACTCCGTTCATCTTGCTCGACGGGGTTATCGTTCGACAGAGTAAAAATTTCCCGTATAACACCTTCATTTAAAGAAGATAAAATAACGATTAAATTACGACTTTTGCATTACTTTTCACTAATTCATCCCACAATTCTTACCTGTCCCGCATTCTTGTGTTTCGATACTGACAGAATTTTCCATCTTCAATTCCACCTCCATATTTTCGTCGTACGTGGAGTGAACCGTTGGATAGTGCAAAACCATAAAGTCATTTTTTCCCAATTGGTCAATGACCATTTTCATGTCAATGCCATCCCGATGAATGCGATTCATGACCGAAATGACGTTCTTTCTTAACGTTGAGTAGCGGATAGATTCATTGTCGGTAAATTTCAAAGTTTTTTAGGACGATGCCCTTCGCCTTTTGAGTTTTTTTAGGACCCATCATCTTCTTCGAGTCGTGGTCTTCTTTTTGCAGTGGGGGTGTGTACTCAAGGGGGAAATATTTATGAGCTGGAAAAAATTGTGCCTTATTTTGTATCTCTTCTCTTCCTTCTTAGCGAGGCGAGGCTTAGTTTAAAATTCCCTCCTTCCATTTGCACCTCATTCGGTTTTTTAGAAAAGCTGCATGAAATTAGAAATTACTTAATTCTTTACTACTATTATTTGAATCTTTAATTGCGCCTACGTAACTGCAGCATGCAATACACACTAGACATTACATGATAATAGTAATAGATATGTAAACAACTAGTGCTAAATAAACTAAGATTTGTTAATCAACCATTTCAATTTAAATAGTAATTACATTTTATTGATCATCCATTAATTAGTTAATGGATCAAATTAAGATAGCATCGTTGAAAACCATAACACAAAAATTAACCATACAAAGAGTAGAAATAGCCGAAAATGTAAAATGTTATTAATATTCAAATACTAACAAAAACTTTAACTTTGCATCCCTAATTAATTAGTTAGTCAGTATCGGTGAAGTATTCAATCCCAAATTTTTTCAACTCCTCCGGAATCGTGGGATGGTCACCTTCACGAACATATTCCAAAGAGCCGGCATAAAGACGGCAATGTTTCCTTAGTTCTTCTGCCCATCTTTCCAACACTGCCTTTTCCTTGCCCATATTCATACAACAAACCAAAATGCTTGCGAGAAGGGCAGGATGCTTATGGCTGGTTGCGATGTTTTCCAGGACGGCGTAAATCTTCTCCATGATGGGCAAACACACGGAATAGTGACCTAGGTCTACCAACACAACGGCGACAAGGGCGTGAATTCGAGAATTCGCCAAAGCCAAATTCAGGTCGGGCGTTCCTGTATGAAGGCTTTCGAGTTCGGCGATTGCTGCCAAGTCTTCAGCAACCATTTGGGAATGGCATGGGTAGAAAATCGGGATGCTGCAAGCTACCAGATCCTGGAGGATTTCTTCTCTCCTCGCAATCACATCAGGGTTTTCAGATCGTTCCAGTTCGCATAGGCGACATTTGCAGATAAAACCTGGATAAAATGAAAGCTTTTTACATGTACTTATAAATGCAACATTTAGTAGAAATATGTTTTCAATATTTTCGAAAAACGATAAAATAATTGCGAAATATTAATGAAAAAACATACAAAGATTTGAAGGGAAATGTAAAGGTTTTTTGTGTCGAGTTTTTTGTATTCGAATTTTTCACAAATTTCTCAACTTAAATTTCATTTAGTTAGATAATGACAAAATCAATATATTTTTGAAAAATAGGCCGCCTGAACTTACCAGTACTTTCCATGGTATTTCTTCCCCCCGACGGCTTCAACGGGTTAACAAAACTCATAAGAATTTCTTCTCCTTTTTTCACCTTTTTGAAAGTCGTAACCATCATGATAAGACTGACATCATGATGATGATACATAACGTTGGCGTCAATACAGCTGTGATTTATTTTCGACGAGGGGATGTAAACACCACAAGAAATGAAAGTATCGTCATCCTTGTATCCACGGGTGTTAAAGTGGCAAATATTTCGGATTCGAGCAATGTCCACCTTTTTTACGGGGTCTTCCTTATCCGTCAAAAATTTGAGGTCAGGTCCAGCCCACAGTTTGTAAAGGTCTCGGCCAAGATCGGGATCCAGACGGATCTTGTTTGCCATAAGGCCGACGAGATGTTCATGGGTGGACGTGTTCAATAAAAATGTCTTCTTCTCCTCTGGCCGAACATACAGCCCGGCGAAGGGTTTGCTAACCAGGAGAATCGTTCCAGGTTCGAGATCTTGTGTGGCAAAGGCTCCTTGGCACTCGCCAATCTCGCTCTTCGCGTTCCCGAATTCAATTGCTCCCACAAATTCGTAGATGCGGTCAAGCATCCCGGCCGGTAAATCTAACTTAGGTTGATTATATTTCGTTCGCCGTGGGTTACGGAGAGCAATGACAACGTCTCTTCTGGGCGGTTTTCCCAGTTCAGCAACAATTGATCTACATAATAATAAATTCAGTTAAGCTACATTTAAATTCTTAATTCTCATTCAAAAAATATTTAAGTTTGTTATTCTTTATATTTTGAAATCACACCTCAATCTGAGAATATCTTTATTCTCTTCTCCTCCGAGCTGCTTGATCTTTTCATCCAGGAATTCGCCACCTTCGGAATACCGTCCAAGTCCAATGAGAGCTTTGGCGTGACGATAGATCGACTTAACGTGAGCGGTGTTGCTCCCAAGTACTTTTCCAGTGTAGACTAGAGCTGGATTAAAACACTCCAGTTTGATCAAAGCGGCCGCCTTGTTGGACAAGATGTCAATTAAAAGTGCTGACGAGGCTGGAGTTATCATCTCCACTTCTTCCATCACAGGCAAGTATTCTAGAGCAACATCGTAAAATCGGATCGCGTCCGTTGCCCTGTTCTCGACGAAAGCCTTGTTTCCCACCAGCTTCAATTTGGTAGCAATCTCAAGGTCACTTTGGTCAGGAGGAAATTCCCAAAGGAGTGGAGAAGCGAACAGGGCTCGAGATTCCTGGGGCAGATCTGACTTCCAGTGGACACCTGGACCAAAAATTTATTATTAACGTAACTACACGAATATAATTAAGTGATGAATGATGTGTAAATATTACTTGGAAAGAGTTTTTCCATTTTCTTCGGACTGAGCAACTCGACATCGGCCGGATTCTCAACAATCAGCCCAAAGATGGGCGTTAGGCTTGTAGGCTTTTTAAACACGGGGTTCTTCACAATCAACATCGTCCCCAAGGGGAGGACCGCTTCGAAATCCGATTTCCCCATTTTAGCTTCAACCGAGTAATTGAACAGGGAAAGTCGCATGGCTTTCTTTCCTTCGACATCTTCCACAGCGGCGTCCACTCCGTTCATCTTGCTCGACGGGGTTATCGTTCGACAAAGTAGAAACTTCCCCTTCAACACCTTAAGTAAAATCAAAATAAGATAAAAATTAAATTTTAAAATATGACTTTGCACAACTTTTGACCTGTCATCACGAAATCTGTCGCTCACCTGTCCCACATTCTTCACGAGTTTGTCGATACTGACAGAATTTTCCATCTTCAATTCCACCTCCATATTTTCGTCATAGGTGGAGTGGTCAGTTGGATATGATAAGACCATAAAGTCAGTTTTGCCCAATTGTTCAAGGACTATTTTCATGTCAATGCGATCCCGATGAATGCGATTCATGACGGAAATGACGTTCTTTCTTGACGTTGAGTAGTGGATAGCTTCGTCGTCGGTGAATTCGAAAATTCTCTGGGCGATGCCCTTCGCTGATTGAGTTTTTTTAGGACTCATGTTCTCACGAGAATTCTACTAGTCGTGGTCTTATTTTTGCAGTGGGGGCGTGTACTCAAGGGGGAAATATTTATCAACTTTGAAATATTTCCTGAATTTTTGCATTTGTTGTTTATTCGCCAGATTGAGTTTAAAATTCCCTCACTCTTTAATTCTTTGTGCCCCTGATGAAATTGGAAATTTTACTTTGTTCCGAAATTGTATTTTAATCTTTAATTGCATCGAATTAAATACATAACGATTTATGCATAATTACTATTCAACCGTGGGTTAGGATATATATATTTATGCACATGAATATTACTCCAATTCCTCTCTTGCTAAATGCAAATAATATTTGCATGTGCATATTATCTATATTATAACCTGGAAATGTTTGTCTGCAACGGAAGTGAAATTAATTTTCCGTGACGGAAGTAAAAATGGAGAAAGTTTCACTTCCCTCGCCAACAGGCATTTGTAGCTAATTATATAAATAGATATAATAAAAAAATAATTCGTTGGAATTATGAAAAATCCGACTCAATTTTCACGAAAATCAAATACGCTCTCGCCCGGCGGCAGACGGGCTTATACGCTAGTGTTACATATGCACATACAAACGTATGAAAACCCGTGTTCAAACCTATTTAAATATGTCACAAATTAAAACCCTGCCCATATGAAATTTTTTATAAATTTAATTTAGGATTTTTTATTAACCTTTTGAAAACATGTCATAATTTGTGTGCAGATTATGTTCAATTATCCTTTCCTCCCGATCCTGCCAGTTGCTGTAAACGCGATGAAAGAAATGATAAATGGGACGATGACCCCATAATAGAACACGGATGGATGTGTTATCCCCCAACCTCTGGTCATAATGCTGCGTAACAGACGGTTCGGGTTGGTTAGAGGGAGAGCATAGCAAAACGGTCGGTGCCACCATGGCACCGTTTCAATCGGCCAGAGCGTATCTGAAAAGCAAATAAAATTTAGTCAGAAAATGCATCTGCAAGTTGGATTAATGCAACGTAAGACTGGGTTGGGGCAACGTGAGATTGGACTGGGGCACGGTGAAAATTGCATGGGGTAATATGAGACGGTCCTATGTTAATATTGCAACGCTTATTTGAGTATGTAAACTAATTATCTACCTTATATTCCTTCACCCGGAGGAGAAGGAGTAAGAGAGATGAAGGAGAGGAAGCCTTCATCTCCTTAACCCTTCATTCCACTCACTTCTCATTTGGGCCTCCCTCACTCAGCTTCACTCACTCGATCAAACTTTTCAACTCCCTCACTCAGCTTCAATCTCCTTCACTCCCTCATCGTGAATGAAGCTTCAATTTACGAAAATTGAGTGAAGCTGCACACAGGTATGAGCAAAATTGGATTTTTGGTGGTAGTTGAAGCACCTGAAAATAGGGTTTTTTTCATGTTTTTTACACCTTTGAGTGGGTGTGGCGGGCGCAAATAGGGCCATGGCATCAAACCACTTCAGGGTTTTAGTAGACTCATAGGGTACTCCAACATATGCAAAGGGCATCAAAATCTGAAGATGACATGTAGAGGGTCTCTCCTCCTGAGATGCATATCAAGTTCATGTGGAAAATCAGACGAATTATAGAACCCAGGGGATCACTAATTAAACGGCTATAGTTACGTATGCATGTGCAGGGATTAAGGCATTTAGGTCACCACTCGCTCGACGCAGTCCGCCCGGACTCCATCCCATCCAAGATGTTCGCATCATACCTGAAAATTATTAAATTCCATTTTGAATGTTGCAAATTTCTAGAATGTGCACCCTTCGAATTCGACATGAATTCAGGGCGGATGATTTTGACTAAAAATCTGCGTCACATTCGCATGTTTAGACTTCAAAGCGTGCTCTCCGTTGTTTACGTGGGAGCCATGTTGGCCAATATTTGCTTTGGTTGGTTAACGTTGACCGAACGGTTGCAGGGATTCGTCTTTTTTTCCTTGTATTTCTTTTGCTCCATCCAAAAGTGGAATTGGAACCTGGATATTGCAGGGATTCAGGTGATCAACTCGTTCCTGGACTATGAGGATGAACTATTGGCTGGTAAGGCGATTGACCAGTTTTTCAAAAAAAGTAGACTAATTTTGGAAATTTAAAACTATTAGATAACGCCCCGCCACCACTCTCCCTTGGCGCCAAAATGATGCGGATTTTCATACCTGCCGGGGAAATCTCTCTATCTGCCGTTGCTCTGCTACAATTCCTGCTACTGCGATATGCCCCTTGTACGCCTCCATTCATCATGTCGATGCAACCAAATTGTACGAATAGGGCGGGATTTAGTGCGGTACAGCTGGGCGTACATCTGTTCGAAGGGTGGATGTTCTGGCATATGATGATGGCTGCTGGATGCTGGTTCGTCCACGTTTTCTTCACGGGAATACTCTCGCTATTAAGTTACTTCAAGATTCTTAACAGGTAATTATTCTGGTCCGTAGCACACATGTTAAAAAAATATTTATTCATTCAAAGTTCATTCATTCAAAGCTTTGAAGAAAAAATTCATTCCTTATTCAACATTTATTCATTATTCACCATTCCCTCATTATTCATTTTATTCAAAATTCACAGTATAAGATGAATTTCTCGACTTTCCCTATGCATTAAGCATTGAGTTAAAAATGAATGATGAAAAAAATATTCATTCATTATTCATTCACACGAATTGAATAGATATTCACTCAATATTCATTTATTCAAAAATCAGAATAAAATATGTCAGAGGTATGTTTTCCATGACCTAAATAGAGCTTTCTAGAATGGCATAAAATTAGACAAAGCATTTTTTATCCTAAAAACTATTATCAACAAAATATTCATTCAATATTCATTCAAATTTTAAATATTGAATGAATAAATATATTAATTCATCATTAAATGAATGAATGTGAATATGTATGGTCTGTAGAGACGGTCAAACTTGATAATCGCGCAGTACGTCACGATAAATCATTACTCAGACATCGCGATGCCCGGATTTCTGGCCTTTCCCCTCATCGCCGTCAACTGTCTGACGACCAATGTAGTCGTTTTCACCTTGGCAGCATTCGTCAACTCGGCGTCGGAAAAGGTGATGGAATCCTTGGGGAAGAAGGCGGGTGGACTATCGGGGAAGAAATTGTTGATAAAACGACAAATTCGGGGCTGTTCCGTCCTCAAGGTGAAATTCGGATCGAACTTTATCGATCGCGGGACTCCGCTGGTGATGCAGACGTTCTGCATCAATCAGACGGTATCGCTCACATTGATCAAACAGGGAAAAAAGGTTCATTAGGAGTTGGTGGACATAAATCAATATGTAAATATGTATGTACATAGATCGGTTTGGAGCAGATTGTTATTAACTTAATTGGCACAACTATGCAAATATGATGCCCACAAATGTTTAAGATTCTGAAGATGCTGCATCGTAGATTTTTAATCTCAGTCTACCCGTCACCCGTATTCATTCTTTAATTGCAAATTTCTAAAATTGTATCAATTTCATGCGTTTTTAGATAAGTTCGATGTTTTAATGTAAAGTAAATTTTTGTCTTTACAGAATCTCGAGTTTTAACAAATAGCTTATTTATTTTCCAGAGAAAAATGTAGGAGTGTGTGACCTGAATCGTCAGTCCTCTAAAACTGTGGGTGCCGAAATATGCTCACAAAATGTGGGAGAGTAAAGTGGAAAAATGAACCGACTGAAAAAACTCATTTAAACTCGGAGTACATTTTTATTTTAATGTAGGAAAAAGGTGTAGGTGTACACGTGCAGAGATTGCATGCAAAAATGAATTTAGAAGTCAATGACTATTCTAGAACCGAACTAAAATTTTAACTCTAATGGTCAATGAGGAGAGTAAACTCAAAATTAATATAATTATCTGATGTCTAAGTTACATCTTGTAAACTGAAACATCCTAAAGTGGACTACTCCGTCCTATGTCTTCTAATGTTGCGACCAACTTTTGGTAGCTAGCTCGTTTCAATTAAATGTTCATTGTGTACAAGGACACTTCGACCCAGTGTCGTTGATCAGACGACCCTGGGCTGGAATGTCACAAGAGGATAAAAAATACCTTAATTATCTCGTCAAAAAGAGAGCTGAAACTGTTTGTCTCATACAAAATTCTTGGACTACAAGTGGAGTCAGCGTTTCAACAAAATTGTTCCCAAACTCTAATCTCAATTACATTAATGTTTAAAAACATGAATTGTATTTTTGTAGATAAATAATTATGCTAATTTTAAATACAAGAATTCCATAAATGCGGAAATGTGAAATGTCCTGGAGACACATTACAGTTGGTTTATTTTTAGATGTACAGTTACATAAGAGTAACTGTTGTACTTATGTAACAACGTATGTATGTATGTATGTACATGTCAGGTCAAGACGATGTAGCGAATTCCATAAGTTCTATTTTTAGAATGAACTGTAAGGAATTGTGCGCGAGTACCTGAAAGTTCTATGTTTAGAGCTTTCAGGAATGCGCTTTCAGTTTTGGCGTTCACATTGAACGTACACCCGCTTCCATCCCGTCCGACCGTTTGGCATAAATACGGCCGCCGTCTCGGCAGCATTAACATCTAGTAACATGGCAGAGCCTTACAACCTCTGCACAAGACTGTATAGCGATTCTCAATCTGCCTCAATTGAGAATGTGAACTTGTAAATATTGTCTCAACTAACTGTATTAAATTGTCCCAAGTAGTAATTAAGTAACTGGTAGTATCAATTGACAAATATGTATTTGCAACTCAAAAATAGTGAATAAATGTTATTGTCGTTATAACGTTTAAACTTAACCAAACCGTTGTTCTGAGCAAGTTAATTCACATACAAACCAGCACACTTAAAAATCATTTATCAGAAATCCATCGCAATATTTAGCACACTAAATCACACATTTCACTAGTTACTCAACAATTAAAGATTTTTGCGTCCTCCTCTCCAACCTCGTTTTGCATCTTCCCTTACAAATTGAGATCCAGTTTATGCTCAAATTATTAAGTAGAGTCAGCTACTTATTGTGATCGTTTTGTCCGTCCGTCCGTCTGTCCGTCTGTAAGCAGGATATCTCCAGAACGAGTCAACATAATCAAACCCCGTTTTCGCCATTGTGCTTCTAATTTTTAGTTCTCGGTCGAGTTCGAAAATGAGGTCAATCGGACCACATTCCACAGACCAAGGGGGTGTGGTCTAAATTAAATTTAACTTTAATTTTCATATGGGGTGTCATTTTAAAGGAAATTTCACCACGAATCCAACGGCGTCAAAATTTTTGACCTTTTGACCGTGACGACGAGGTCACAGGTCAAAAGATACGTAATTGTCATATGGGGTGTCATTTTTAAGGAAATTTGACCGCGATTTTGGAGACGCTGATATTTTTGACCTCATCACCTTGCGGACGAGGTCAAGGGTCAACATAATATATAATTGTCATATGGGGTGTCACTTTAAAGGAAATTTGACAACGATTTTGAGGACGTTAATATTTTTGACCTCATGACCTTGAGGACGAGGTCAAGGGTCACAAATAAATAATTGTCGGATACGGTGACACTTTAAAGGAAATTTCGATCGGTCTGACGCTACTTTTTTATATTTGTTTGTAAGGGTTTATTTATTTGAGCAGGTACCGAATACAAAAACACTGAGAAGACCAGCAAAAGACAATAAAGGCATAGGAACGGGAATGCTTCAATGTTTTCCGAATGAAATAATTGCATCGTAGTGTAACAGTAAAATTTGCAAGCCTGACACTACAAGCGCCGCAACATGGGGACAGAAAAACAATGTCCCTATTACATATCTGCTGTCCATGTTATATAAACCCCTCCCTCCACTATCCTACATGCTAATGTCCACAGAGATCCCACGGCTTCCGCGGCCAATGTTATATCTATACAGCTAAGCAAGAGAATATTGGAAATTGTTCTTGAATTTAGTTAGAAGGCTAACACCGTCCTGATAAATAGAGTTTGAATAACCGTGTACACTCTAAATAAAGTTGTGGAAATTCTGCTCTAAAGGTGACCAAATTATACCACAATATTGTGTGAAATTTGGGACTGCTACGTTGTTATACAAATTTTACCCAACTCAGTTGGCCAATCACTTTACTCATTAATTGTGTAAAATTAACTAAGTATATTGTTAAATTTTGACCAATGCCAGCTGACAAACTTCATGCAATTAGAGAGTAAAATTCACACAACTCGAAACTAATTTTTCCTTCATTCATAGGTAAATTTTACTTTTATTTTTACTAGAATTTACTCCTTAGTTGATGATTATTTACTCCTTGGTTAATTAAATTGCACTTGAAAGTAGATTAAATATTACACCTTTATTTAAACCATTAGCATAATTTACAATATTCATTACATTTTTCACACATAAGAATTAATATTTATGTATATGTAATTAATTAAGCGTACGAAAAATACTGATAATTATAAACGCATGAAAGCATAAGATAAATTATCTAAAATATTATTTGAGAGCTAAGTGATAAAACGCAAGATGGAGGAGCTGTAATTTCGTTGATTTTGAATACTGAGTGGTCGAAAAAACTCCAAACGCCGTAGCATTCTTCAGGAAATTGCAATTGTAATACATGGAATATTTTGAAGCATGTATCCACCGCCTTGACGAGAGTTTCCGCAGCTATGAGTCGTCGTTCTACCATGATGTATGCTTGCTGAATGGTCAACGTTTTCAAATTTCCGACGCACAAAACAAATGGCTGCTTCCTGGTCAATTCCGATAATCGAAATGCTTCCAAGTCTTCAGTTGCCTGAAAAAAGCATTCAAAAATATTATGAATGAATTGAAAAATAATTATAATTATAATGCAATTAATTTTAAATGTTTCTTGAGCCTTACATTTACAAACTGGAGGAAAAAATAGGAAGACTGTCCTCCTGTAATTCTACGCCTTTTCTTTCCACTTCGAGTATATGCAGAATTCGACAATAAATACGGTAGCAAAATAAGTGAGCCGTTGTTGACTTGGTCTACGAAATTAAATATTATTATACGATTATTTAATTTAAATATTTTACACTCATTACCAGTTGTCCAATTATTGATATGCTGTTCAACTCCAAGCTCGTTTGTAACGTCTAATTTTGTATTTTTAGCGGCTTGCCAAATTTGTTGACCTATTTGAGTCCAGTTTCGAAGCATCAGCTCATTTTTCTCTGGGTGGCGAAAGGAGAAATCTTGATCAATCTAAAATGCGACAGATCTTGTACTTAATAATAAAATTATAGATGCTAAAACTTTTACATTTAATTAATTAATTATACCATTCCAACAGTTTCTAGTAGACGAGGCCACTGCGAAAGGGTTACCGAAATATCCTTTGTATTCCGAATCTCTGCCGTCCTCATAGGGTAGGTTTGCGCCATATATTCTAAAACCTGACTCTGGGGACTAGATGAGTAAGCCAGCCAAGATTTTTTCCCTTCGTCGTCTTCTGACGGAGCTAAACAAATTGTCAAAAATTCCATCCCATTTGAATTTTGAAGAAACTGTCGATAAAATGCAAAATTACCGTATGATTCAGAGCTACTGCTGACGACATTTATTGACAATCCAACGCTGTACTTCTTCCGTAAATGCCTTAACCTTTCTTCAATTAGTCCTGATGCTGGAATTCTTTTTCGGACACTTGATCCTGTCGAATTTGATATGATGACTGTCGACGGACTATAAAATAAATTCTGAAAAAAAATCTTATTAATTTGATGAGAAATGAGTTAATTTCAATGTTTACTAACCATAATATCCTTTTGTTGCTGATTTGATAAATTTTGAAATAACTGAGATGCCACACATTCTGCGAGGTTTTGTTTCTCGTGCTTGGATGGACTATTTACATTCAAACATGATTTCATTAACTTTACCACCATACTTACTTATATGGACAATATAGTCGAGATTACTTACTAATAGCTGTACTGCTTGACAAGATAATTAACAATGCGGCGTTTAATTACGGTCTTAATGCGGTAATTGATGACATTAGTTTCTCCAATTTCTTCTAACAATTGCTTGCCTTTTGTTGTACCTTTCTCCTCGTCAGACTTTAAAATAATCGACTTGATATCCTAAAATCACAAAAAAATATTATGAAAAAAACGCTAACAGAAATTAATAAAAAAATGTTTCATACAAATAATGGTTGCAAAATAACAACTGCTTCCGCTTGATCCACTGTCAAATCTCCAACACTCTCAGAATTTTGAGAATTGACGCTAATATTGTTGTCAATCTGTAATAAAAAAGATGGTTTAACAGCCAATTACATAGCTGTGAATTAAAACAAAATTTGAATGCAATAAAATTTATGGTTCTTACAACTATTATTTTCATTGTTTCCTCCACTTGTGCTCGCTCTGCTCGCTGTTCAGTCTCTGAGCTAGATTTCCCTAACTATATATACATATGTACAAAAAATTCTTTTAAACTAATTCAATTGGGCAACAAATTAAACCATCACCATGCGGGTCATCCAGGTTGTTGACAACCAATAATGGATATTCTAACTCTAGGGTTTTAGGGTCAATTAAAATCGGTTTCCCAAAATCAGATATTTTAAACAAAAATGAATTAAAAAAATATTCTTCACATTTTACCAGCTTTCCAACAACATGAGCCTTCTCGTCATAAATTAAGCACAAACAAATTTGCCAAAATTGCAACTCGGAAGCAGAGTCATTCAAAATGAAATAATTTCCAGATTTAACTTTTGTGCCATTAATTGTGAGCGAGTCAACAATAAGTACATCGTCGTTTGGATTGATGGAGAGTTTAGAAAATCGAACACAACCTTCAAATCGTTAAACATTGTCCTTGACCCGGACTTGTAATTTATTCCACTGCCTACTTCTTCACATAGTGAAAATGCAATGTTAAGTGATATGCGCCTTGCAATAGTCTTGGAAATATTTTTGAAATTGTACGAGTTTTTGCCAATAGTTTTTGCCAATCGATGCTTTGCTTCAAACCGCATGCACCAATATTGTTTAAGAGGTCCCAAGTGCTCTACAGCGTTGGCGTAGTGTAACAAGTGATGGAATTTTGGGGTCAAGTTACTATGAGCCAAGTTAATGAATGTTTCATGATGCTCAGAAATTAAATAATTTAGCAACTTGATCCCTGGCCTACTTATTTGTGGTGCCATTAAGATTCTAATAATCCTACGTAACCGTAAAACTAAAATCTAATGCTTATCGTCGTTAGACAATTTATCACCAAATATGGCGGGGAAAATTAAGAAAAAGTGGCTCATTTCCGATGCAGAAAAGCAGGTTTTTTTGTCTCCTTCAACAAAACCGATGTCAATTTCTGGTAATTTGGAAATGGAATGAGAATAACTTTTAATGGACGATGATATCCTGTGGTTAATTTCTGTAAGAGAGAAAAAGCCGTTTTGGCACACATGCTTTAAAAACAGTTTTAATTCCGTTATACAAATGCCCTCCAGTACATCATGCATAATATCTGGAGCAAAGTTGGATGTAATGTGAAAACCTTTAATATCATTTAAAATAGTCCCTTCCCTAATACCTGTCAAGCTAACATTATTAATTTGTAAATCATTTTCATAGTCTTCTAGGCTTCGTCTTTGTGCGATTACTTCCTCAATGGCAGTGAAAGTCTGCTGCTTACCCATCTTACAAAATCTACATCTAAAATTTGCGTTAAAACTTTCTGTGAACCCAAATAGTGTATGCAAACCAAGATTATCGCCACAAAATTGAAGTACTTGTACATGTGTAAATGGAGTCTTTGATAAAAACCTTAATCTGGTGGAATTTATGTGTAAGGAGTTTAATTCAATTACAATTGGTTTGAGAATTAAATTCATTCCATACTCCTTTAAATATTTAGACTTTACAATTAAAAGTGGAAAAATGTTATGTAACTGAACTTTTAAATGTGGAAGAAAATTGGAAATAGTAAAATAAAACATTGCAAGTTTATGAATTTTGGCTTTGGATCCTAACGGGTTACATATTTCTACATCATCATAATAAATTTGCAAACACAAAGGATTATTTTCGAAACTTCGAAATAATTTTCCTGACATAAAATTTTCAAAAATTTCTGTATTTGAATTTTGCCCTTGATAATTTGTGTTATCAAATTTTTTAGAAAGAATAAGGGGGAGCGTTTCGGACAATGGAAATTGGTAGGAATTGTCAAACTTTTCCATCATCAAACCAGAACTTCTATTGTATTTAAAGTGTGACCCTAACCTTATTTCTTTCGGGTCAACTAAAAGCGACCCTTCTCTTAAAAGTTTTTCAATTTGATACTGAGAAGAATTATTACTTGGAAATGGGTCTTTCAATGTATTTAATTTTGTCACAACTAGTTCTGGGCTTGTGATTTTGATAGACAACTGTTTTGCAATTTCAATAATACTATTAACTAAAGAGTTAGCAGCGCAAAGAATGTTATTGCACTTTGATAAAGAAATTCCTCCTGACATTTGTAATGACTTAACAAAAATAAGTTTATAGTCGGCATTTACTTCCTGAATTTGCTGGGGTGAAAATATTTCCTGATTTATGTTTGACATTGTATTTACATCATCAATATTTTCTGTGTGCGTATAATTTGAGAAAAATGATCTAATCACTGGACAAACCTGTCTTTCAACATGTTTCTTAAGATTAAAAGAGCAAGTAAAAACCATTGAACATAATGGACAATTTAATCTAACCCTCCCATTGTTTCCAGTAATCTCGTGTACATCTCTAACATGAATCCAATAATCTTTAAAAGAGGCAAAATAACTTCCGCAAATACTACAAGAAAAACGTTGTAAATTTAATTTGCTTGACCTCAACTGACTAACCTCTCTAACAGCTGCAATTAACTTTAGTCGGTGACCAACCGATGGTACAATTTCAGCTAAGAGACGCTCCTCCATGGACCCAGCGGCACAATCCGTCAAAGTCTTCAAGACGTTGTCGTCGACGTCATTATCTATTGAGAATTTGCAAAATTTTTATTATGTAAAACCTTGGTATAATAATTATTTGTGATGTCCTTACCCTTAAACTTCTCAAGATAATGCGTGAGAGCACAATTATGCAGAGCACTTTCTAATAGTTCTGTCATGTTTGATTAGTTTTATAATTAATTATAAAATTTTAAGTGGTGAATAAATTATAATCTCTTCAACTCGGTCGTTATTTTCAAGTCTTCCACCTCGCGGTGGCGTTTGGTGGTGGCATACTGAGCAAACTTTTTTTAACCACTTGTTGTCCAATATTACCCCAAACTGTTGGTTAAATTTTACCCAACAATTGTGTAAACGGAAATTTACACAACTTTTGCTTAAAAATTGGCCAACTTATTAGTAATCTTTACCCAATAATCACCAAAAATAATTTTAGCCAACACGAAGACAAATTTAGACCAACATAAGTGCAAACTAAAATTACACAATCCCGTTGTGTAAATTTTGACTCCGTTACAACTATTTATTGGCCAAATTTCTTGCAAAAATTACCAATTTTCTTTTGCACAACTGGTTGTGCACAACTTTATTTAGAGTGTAGATTCCGGTCAAACTGAATCTATTTATCTACTAAATAGATAGTTAGGCCAATATCAACCAACGAGTAGAAGATGTCAGTATGCATATCAGATTATGCTACATATAAGCTTATTTGGTGAACGAGTCCAAAATCCATAAGGTCGAAATATTTACAGATAGGTAAATTTGCTCGTAAATATGTATGTATTTATACGGTGGAAATTGCTGTGGAGTGAAGTGGAAATATTTAACCTAACGAAATGATAAGGAGTTTTGCCAATAGCTTTTAAACATGTTTTTGATAACATACTCATTAAATTGCTTGGGTAACAACGAATGTTTATTTAGTCATGACTTACATTTGTAGTTCTGACATATTTTCCAGGGAATACATAAAATAATATTCGTGGTTCATTATTTTAATACATGATTATGAAATAACCTCTGAATACAGTTCTGTATAGTGGAGATCATGGTATGGTAATGGTAAATAATTAAAAACATGACCCAATTATTGGGCCAATAATATGTATGTTGATGTTAGAAAATAGATACTTAGGTATGTATCCATGAAATAAGTGTTCATCCGATTATTTTGCATTGAAAGGTAATTTTAGAAGCTATGTGTAAAACTGAATCTTTGACCTAAAATTGTACGTAGCATAAAAATCCAAAATATTGAATATAAATATTTATTCAAATCTTAATTTACTAAATATATCTTCCCAACAATTTTGCGATTAATGACCCCCTCAAACCTTTACTTCTTCCAGCATAATATCCCCATTAAGCTCTCCTGTAACAATTAATTACCCCCAATCCTGCCTTAATTTCAGCATAATTTAGCAATAAAGTCATGTAATTCAAACAAGTTTCGGAATTTCATTACCATTTACATACATACCATTTGCTCCTCAGCCTCAAATTAACCACCTAATCTAGCAAAATTTCCAGCGCCCTGGACATCTTCCAGTCCTCAGCCAACTTTCATACCTAATCCGCAGTGAAAAATATCCATAAAAAGCAAAATGCGTCTCGCCTTCGTCACCGCCCTTTTAATCTGCCCCATCGCCTCTCAGCTTTTTAAAGGTTCCGCCGTAATAAACTTTTCGGCGGGAAATGATGCCAAACTTGAGGTAAAATTTGGCGACATTTCCATCGGCAATGGAACCCGTTTGACGACCAAACAGGTCGAACGTGCCCCCACGACGGTCAAATGGAACGCGGATCCGAACAAGTTCTACATCGTGGCAATGATTGGTATACATAAATCATGTAAAATTCCCGGGATAAATTTCTGAAAATACATGTTTAAAATTTTCCAGATCCCGATGCACCCACAAAAGTGGTGCCCGTCTTTGGCGAAATTTTGCACTGGATGGTCGTCAACGTTAAGGGAGGTGACATGTCGACCGGGAAAGAATTGGCGTCATACCTTCCACCAAATCCACCACTTGGTTAGTTAGTATTCGGAAATTATGAAATTTTGAAAAAATACATATGAATATTAATGTTTTTAGGTAGTGGTGCTCATCGTTTCGGCTTCGTCGTGTATGAACAACCCTACTTGCAAGGATTACGGGGAAGACTTACATTTGCGGAAAAGTTTGGACAAACGATCCGATCCCGGTATCGATTCTCGATGCAGAATTTTGCAAACTTGTATAATCTTGGGGATCCCGTGGCACAAAATTATTTCACCGCGGGATGGCTGGATGCTCCCGTTTTTGGGGCATAAATTTCTAAAATGCAGTTCAAATTGTAATGGTCATAATAAAGAATGGATACTTATCTTCAATTTGCATGCCATTTTAATTTATCATGAAATTTCTGGTTAACATTTTCATAAATTATTAACGGCATTGTCCAAATATTCCAACAATTCGGGGTTATCGCTTGGGTGACAACTCTTAATTTCCTTAATAATCATAATAAAACAATTGAAATCTGGCGAATAATGAAATCAGAATATTGAATACCTGTTGTACCGTGTGGTCAATTGGTTCGTATTTAAGTCATACAAGTAATTAATTAGTAATGAATGAATAATGCAGCAAAATACCTGAATTACATAATTTCGTCAATTAATATGTATGTACCAGTTGCCATTGTCTCTCACAGTATCGTGTCAACGTTCCCAGTCGTCTCAGCACATCAGTGGTTGCCACACGGTAAGAAAATAATTCAGCAAATTAGTTCGCAGTTTAGGCCTCGTTTTGATATCCATTAAAACCAAATTTGAATTTCGTTTGATACTCATTTACTTACATATTCAGTCCGACATGATGGCCCTCCTATTGCCCACCGTCTTCCTTCTCGTCGCCCACACCGCGTCTTCCCAAGTCTTCAATGGGTCCAAAGCAATCAACTGGTCGGCCGGAGATGCGACCTCGCTCGAGGTCAAGTATGGCCATGTCGCCATCGACAATGGGACTCGGATGACGACCAATCAGGTCTCCGAACCACCCACGACCGTCAAGTGGAACGCTGACCCGAATAAATTCTATGTTCTTGCCATGATTGGTAAGTATTCATTTTTTTTGGTAACAAAATTTGGTAAAAGATTTGAATTTCGCGGTGATTCTTGTGGTTACCAAGAAGTTTTGTTACCAATTTCTTTTGCGTGACCAAACTCGTTTACTTCATAAGGATATAATTTTTTAAGATCCCGACGCTCCCGCCTATTTTGTCCCGCTCTTTGGCGAAACCGTACACTGGATGGTGGTCAACATTCAGGGCGACGATATCTCGACGGGAGAACAATTAGCGTCTTATCTTCCCCCAAGTCCTCCGATAGGTTGGTCAAAGATAGACAAAATTCGGTACACATTTTTAGCGCGGTTTTGAAAATTTGTTTTCTGCCAGGCGGTGGTGCCCACCGATTCGTCTTTGTCGTGTATGAACAACCCGAGTTGAAAGGTGTCCGGATAGGATTCACTTTTACGGAAAAGTTTGACGCCACGGTGCGATCCCGGTACAGATTTTCCATGCGGACGTTCGCCAACACGTACAACCTTGGGGAACCCATTGCGCAAAACTATTTTACCGCGGGATGGCTCGACACTCCTCTGCTGATTGGGGTGTAGTGTGAATTTTGTGAAAAAGGGGAAACTTTTTGGAAAATTGTTAAATTTGGAATGATGTTTGGCTGCTATTAAAAGAATTTTGAAATATAACGCTCGACAACGTTTAAGCATGCTAAATTCGAAACCGCACCCACACATACATACTTATAGTTTATTTAGAATTACTTAATACACGATCAGCCAAATGTTTCGGACATGCCCAGGAAGTTTGTTTGTGTGAAAATTTTGTATATAAGTATTATTCGAAAGATGTCAATAAGTGAAATAATAATATAACTAATACATATATGGTGGGATATAGCCTACACGTGTAGGCTACCCCTTCATAACACAGTTTTGATCCGTGATTCTCCAGAATTTAACACAACAATAGATTGGGACTTAACACTGCATGATATCGAACAAAATCCAAAAACTTTGGCGACTCACTTATAAATTCGAAGCCAACCATAATCATCTTTAAAACGCCTGAAATTTGCCTTCTTCTCGTTCACATCATTTCGTTTCGTTCTTCAATTACGGTTTAAGTAAATAAAAAAATTGCATAATACATAATGTATGTACTTATGTAAGTGTGCAAATATCTTACTAATTGAGACGCTCGTCTAGACAACAAGGTTTGAGTAGACGCTATAAACTTGTATCAATTATTTCAGTCGCTTTAATAAATTAGATTTAAATTCAAATAGTGACTTTCACTCCTACATATTTCCAAGGGTCAATAATTCAACGGTTAAATCCAATGGGTATATGTGACTGAAAGCAGTCACGTATAAATGTGTGTAGAATTGGTCAAAGTAATTATTTTTCGGTTGGATAGATCACGAGATATAAAACACCTTACCAAGCCCACCAGAAACTTTATTTCATGATAGGGAAAGTTTATTCTGATTTATTTAAAGCTATGAAAGTTACATAAACCTTTAAGCGACGACAATCCCCAATATGATGAAAAATTTTATTAATATTCAACTGGCACCTTGTCGCGTATTTTATTTACTTACATACAATATGTACATAAACGTTAATTATTTCTCGTAATAACCAATTAAAAAACCGATTGCATAACTCATTACAAATTCTCCCGTATACGTGGGTGTTTTATTATTGATTTTCAAAAGGTATGTTCCGCACTGTTTCTGACCAAAATTTTGATGAAATAACAAACTTGGAATACATTTAGGAAGTCGTGATTTTTTTCAGCTCAATCGGTTAAAAGGAACACTCGCAATAAATCATCCAAATTTACCTCGAAAATATGCAAAAATTTACGACTTGATTCCATTATCATCCCAAAATCGTTTCCCCTTCATGCTTTTATTCAACGTTTGAAACGGATAATAATCACTAAGGGTCTAGGCTGGACTGTACGGGGGGTGGTTTATGACGGTGAAGCGTTTTTCGTCTGCAGCAGCCCTCGAAACCAGCGAGGTATTTGTTGGCGCGTTGTCGTCTAAAAAAAGGCCAACTCTTTATTTTGACCTCACGTTTCTCTTCAACCGCAGCACGCAGCTCCGTCAGGGTTCCTGCATAGGCTGCCCCATTTATCGTAGTATTTCCAGCAAGAAATTATGTAAGAAGGGGACCTTTTGTATCATTGTAAATAGTCATAATCAATTTTTTGGCAGATTTTTACGCTTTTGCTTTCATGGGCGGTGGCAACCCCCCGTGCTCCCATTGCATGAAGTATTGTTTAGTCTGCAGGTCATAATAGTAAACCCAAGTATCATATGCAACTACTAAAATATGAAGCAGGTTCCAGTTTTCATTTAATAGGTTAAAATTGGCATTGCAAAGGTCAACTCGATCTTGTTGTTGAGATGCCGAAAGCAATTTTGGTACCCAACGGGCGGAAGCCATTTTCATACCTAAGTCTTCAGTTAACCTTTTAAGCATTTTGACCATGTATGTCATGGCGAACAATTTTACACGAAGTGCCGGACGAAAACACAACAATTAAAAAGATCCGTCCTTAGTTACATATATCAATTTTTTACGAAATTTATTAAGTAATTATTGTCGACTTTTAATCACATCGCAACGTTAAAATATTCGGATTACATCCAAAGACTGACTTTTTCTCGAGTCGTGATTTTTAGCCCGAACCAGGGCTTATGTAATTGTCATGTCAGTCGAACTGTCGAACGAGTTAACCAATTTTGACCAAATTTGGTGCAGACATGTATCTGGGCAATGCAACGACCGAGTTAGAAGATGGGTTCGATCAGAAAAGTTTTGAACCGGTGGGGGTCATATAAGTGGGTAGGGTATTTTGCACCAAAATTTCAAAATTGTTGTAGAGAGCTGAAATTTGATACAGAGGTTGCTAATGGCTCCTAATAGAAAAAAATAACTTCAGGTTGGAAAAATTTTAATCTTGAGGGACCCTGTGGGGTGACCCATACTGATTTTTAGAAATTACTTTAAAAAGATGAAATCCGGCACAATGGTACTTAATGGCTTCTAATTAAAGAATATGAAGTTAAAAGTGAGTAAAGTGCAACCAGAGTGACCCTATGGGGTGACCCATACTGATTTTTCAAAATCATTATATCGAGCTGAAATTTGATATGGAGGCTGAAAACCACTGCTGGATGGCACATACATACAGCTTAGAGCTTCAGGATGTTAAAGAAGCCCACTGGTCATGGTGGTCAAGACACATGATCTGTAACTTGCTCAAAAATTTGGGACCAAATAATAGAAACTATCTAACAAACTTTTAACCATCCACAACACGGAAGTTGGTGATATTATGTTGGTCAATTCGGAAAAAAATTTAGAAGCGGGCTCTGACTTATTGAGTCAGGGACTATGTCCCTGACTCGGGCTATATGGAGTCTGCACTGTAGGTTTTATCTATTAGGAGCCATTAGCAACCTCTGTGCCAAATTTCAGCTTTCTACGACAATTTTGAAATTTTGGTGCATAAGACCCCACCCACTCAGATGACCCCCACCGGGTAACCAGTTAACCGATTTCGCCCATCTTCGAACTCGATTCCTAACTTTGTCCAATATGCACATGGTAAAAATTTCAAGTCGGTAGCTTGTGTTTAAAGAGAGTTATCCTGTTTACGGACGGACGGACGGACGGACATGACCGGTTCCATAAGCCCTGACTCGGGCTAAAAAGCTGTGAAAATTATTATTTTCGACTTCCATGTATGTCATGGTCAAAGTATTTTCTTGCAAAAACAATCGCCATGACTTTGATGGTATTGGTCCTGCAATGCAAATTTTTGCGACCATGACTAACATGGTTTTGGTCTTTCGATGTGTAAAAAATATGACATGAACACCATGGTTTAGGAAACTTGGTGTAAAATTTTTCTCCATGACATTCATGGTCAAAGTTCATTCCCCATTTTCGACTATAAAATGTAAATGCTTAAAAGGTTAACGTGGAACAAATTGTTGGTTTTGGAACACCCATCTTATCTGCTAAATAGGACAGTTTCAATCGTGGATCTCTAATTATTGGTTCCTCTAGTTTCTGGAGCCTTTCTGTGGAAGAAACTGATTTTGGGCGTCCTGGCGACTTTTTGTCCGAGACCACTTTTCGTCATCATTTGAAGTTACTGACCCAATTTATATTGTGCTTTGTGTTGGGCAGTTTTCATCGTAAACTTTAAGCATGCGATCATAAATCTGCGACACCGATTGCCCTTCCAGCGTTAAAAGTTAAATCACACTACGATATTTAATTTGCAAATCTGACATTTTTTCCGTCGAGGTAAAGTTTGCTGATTTATTGCTAGTGGTGATGTTAACCTAAAGAGCTGAAAAAAATCACAGCATCCTAAATGTATCTGAAGTTTGTTATTTCATCAAAATTTTGGTCAGAAACAATGCGGAACATACGTTTTGAAAATCAATAATAAAACACCTACGTAAATAAGAAAATGAATTTATGCACTGCGTAGTAGAAATACATAGACAGTAAACACGTGATTAATTAAAGTATGTATTAAGTGTCGTACTAGATTTCGAAGTAGGGCATTAGAACAGGCTGTGTGTGAAAAAAAACGATTTATTAGAAGTTCTTGCGTCCTTCACACCGTGCATTGTAAAATACATTCATAAAATAAATTCCAACAGTTATAATAAACTGGCGGAAACGGAGTTTTAGAAAATTTCCAAAACTCCGTTTCTGCATTTAATACTGCATTGAATACGATAATATGTTCGATGTCAATCATCGCAAAAATTTGACATTTTTGACGACTTGACATTCATGGCCATTGACCTCCTTTGACCCTGTGACCTTTCGCCCAACAAGGCTAGCTAACGAACTCCCGCTTAAGTACTTTTAAAATTAGATGTCGATATTCGCAAATAAAAATCAAAAAAGTTTATTAAATTTAAGAGTCATCATGCTGACGGACGGACAGACGAACAAATTAATATCATTTAATAGGTCAGTTCCATCCACTCGTTAATAATGAACCAAATTTCGTCTGTGTGCATATGACGATCGTCCATTTTCATACGAATGGCCAGTCACGTACGCAAAATAGAGAAAACCCTCGCAAAATAGTCCATAAAGAATTGTTGATTACTTTGTTCAGAAGCGTGTCACCTAGTCAAAAGTTATACAACTCACTCATATGTATGTATGCATGACTAATGAAGGCAAATTTCAACGCCACCTTATACATACATCTTGGGCGTACAGCTTATTCGGCATCGAAGACTACTTGCAAAAAGTCACTGAAAAATTCTTCCGAATACTTAAAACCATGTAGATTTTCTGGGTAGATTTGCCAAAAAATCCGGAAACGTAGCAATTTCTGTTGATCCCCACAGATTGTCGTTTTTAGCTCAATGCCTATGACACTCAACCTTTTCGTCGAAACTCGAAAATTGTAAAACAACACTTAATATTCTCCACACGCAGAGTTATATAAGATGTAAAGACACCTTAATTATCGCATAAAGTAAGTATATACGTCCAATTATCGCAGAATTACCAGGCCAGCCACATCACCACTTTCCCCATAAAAAAAGTAGGCACGTCAGCCACCTCGACGATAATTACTCGTAAATATTCACCCAGGAAGGAAAAATGTGAATGCGGACAGTTCGCGCGTTTCCAGTCATATGTACAAAGTCGGACGAGTTATTCCAAGAATAAAATCATTACTGTCCATTCTACATAAATCTTGACCTGAAGAAGCACATAAGTAAAACTGTTCCATTTCAACTAAACCCATCCGGGGGAAAGAATTTGTACCATTTCTTCGGTATTTTTGTAAAAAAAACTCTTGTAAAAAATGGGATTGTTTAAGCGCCACGTCCTATTTCGAATGAAGAACGCGTTACTGACAAAAGCGTATAAAATGAATTTACTCACGTTCGAGGTGCTCTGCGCGTTTTGTACCGTTCCTTTAAAAATATCCTGGGAGGAGGAGAAGGTCGTCGAAGTACGGGGAAAATTGAGACTAACGGTGATCAAATTACTGGACCTGTTTCATTTCGGGAGGACGGCCCAATTTCTGGTGGGGTTTGGGTTGAGGATGGCAGGACTGCAGGTGGGGCCTTCGGGGAAGTATGTCATGACCGATAAGCTGCTAGATTACGGGTGGATGGGCCCCATCATGTGCACGATCCTGTATCGGTTCGAGTTCCGGAGGAAGGCAAAACAAATAGTGGACTTGATGAATGAGACGCATCAGTTGGAGAGGGAGGCAGAGGAAGATGGTGAGAATTTTTTGGAGAGGCATTTTGAGATTTGAGTTATTATGTAAGTAATTACGGAGCTTCACTAGTGGTCACTTCCGGATTTTACGAGAAGTGGTCAAGTGTATCAAGCGATTCCCCGAAAAACACGAAAAGCCTGCTCGTTTGAACCTTGCCAAAATAAATTCTTGCAACACTGTTGAAGCTCTCCTGGGTTTTGGACATGTGTTGATTTTAATTTTGTATAAGCACATTAGTAAATATTTAAAAAATAAGATTTCGGTTTAAGGTATATCGATTTGAAAATATCCAAGTTTAATTACGTAAATTAATTTTATAAACCTATTCGTAACCCTCAAAAACCATAATTTATCAATTCAGGTTTGAATACCGTCTACACGAAAGGATTTTTCGGCAAGGCAAGGTCTACACGTATTCGGCGTATTCCTGCGTCTTCTCAGTGCCCATGGCAGCGGGAATGTTCTCAATGCTCAATCCATGCGAACCCGCCTTCGTCTCGTGGCAATTTCTTGCCTGTAACTCAACCACATGGACCCCATCTACTGACCAGGAATTAAACATCGTCCGCATTTCAGGCTTAATTGAAACTTTAGTTTGGTATCAGATTATTACGCTTGGAACGATGGCAAACTTATCGACGATGTTTTATCTAGCATTAGCACTTAGGGCATTCATGGTCAATGCGGCAAAGTAAGTTCAAAATTCGCACATAACTGAAATATAAACAATTTTAGTTGGGTTATGAACCTATATTGAAGTTTGTGAAATACTAAATCCCAGTTGTTTTTGGAAACCAAGATTACAAATTAAAGATAAATAAATTAACTCAAAGATTTGGAATACAACAGGGCATAATGAGATAGGGGTACAATGAGATCGAGCTCGTATGAGCACCCTAACCTTCATTACAAAAATCTGTCAATCAACTTTTTATGAATTTCTTTACAGAACCAAGATCGCCTATTTCGGCGAAGTGACGCTTCAATACTACCGCCGCTATCAAGTATACAGCACTCTGTTAAATTACTGCATGTCACACGTCGTAACACCTACAACGATCTGCGCCTGGACGACCATTCTCATCATGGGCTGGTACACCATGCTCCGCTACTTTGGGCGGGTGTCCTTCGCCCTCTACACGATCCACTCTCAACTTGCCCTCAACGGAGTGATTTGTCTCCTCACAGAATTCAAAAGCGCCGGGGATGCGCATGACTATTCGCGAAGCCTACTTTACGATTGGCGCTTTTCGCTCGGAAAGAACACTAATTTGAAATTGTCGAAGCGATGGTTGAAAAGCTGTGCCCCACTGAAAGTGCGGATCGGTGCGACCAACTATTTCGAACGTAGTACACCCATGATTATAGGAAGTCTTTGTGTGGAACAAGTTACAAATCTGATTATGGCTGAGGCAAAGAAGTAAAAGCTTGTATGCTTGATTAAAATGTGTATGTAGAAAGGTTTTTTTATTACTTGTTATATTTTAAGTTATTTATGATGTATCAGTTAAATATACATATTTTTTAGCCAGTGGAGTTTCTAAGCCTTTTAGGGGTTCCAGTCCCGGGATTTTATTCCCGAAATCCCGGGATTTGAAGAATTGAAATCCCGGGATTTCGGGATTTTTTAATTTGTCATTCAAGATTGAAAATGCCCTTCTATTTGACTTTTATTAGCGGTTTTACATAATTTGGGGTTATATTATTGGGAAGAAAAAGTTTAGACGAGCATAACCAGTTAAAATTCATTCTGAACTCCAAGATTAAGCTTTAAACATAATGTGAAACCACATTTTTTTATATGTCGTAGATAAATATATTCAAATCTTCTAGTTTGCAAGTAAAATTTTAAATATAAACTGGAACTTGAAATTTTCTAATTTCGATGTCAGATTTAACCTTGAAGGAATAAAGAAACCTTACCCTAGGTATAATTATAGAATCTGAAATCAGTTATACTCAAAAAAGCTAATATGTTAGAAGTGCATAGTTTCGAATTTTAGTCGATCAATTTAAGTCAGAATGGAAGGCTTTCTGAACGATGTAGTTCATATATGTGAACTTGAAATTTTTGAAGTGCTAATTTTATGTACAATTTTAGTTATTGTATAATAGTACCCAAACAATAAACGCGTAAATTTATTCATTTCAGGTTAAAATGCTGGCAAATTGTTGATTAATTATTTACCCATAAGTTTTCTGGAATGAAATTATTAAAATTTTTCTTGACACCTCTCCAAGAGAGAAGGCAAAAAATTAGGCTACCACATTACACCGTAATTTTACATTTACCATAGCAGGCAAAACAATATAATCGCTAATTTGTGCTGCTATCATATTCATTTTGAGAAGGCCAGAAAATTCCATACCTTATAATAATAATTATGGATGCACAGATCCCAAAAAACATAAGTATATAGGTCCAGCAGTATTATGAATATGCATATGCTGTCCTTTTTAAAGTCATGTACCCTTTTGTATGCTCAAATTTGACTTTCTGGGCTAATGGGGTACTGTTTGAATTTCGGGAAAAAATCCCGGGATTTGGCACGGCTAAAACCGGGATTCCCGATTCCCGGGATTTAAAAAATCGTCCGGGATTTTAATCCCTAAAGCCTTTATATTAAATTAATTTTTTTAAATTTCGATACAGAAATTTTTTACGTTTCAACGAAGTACTGAAAAAAATTGTATGGTTGTTACCTTCTTGCTTTTAAATGAGCAATTCAACAATGGACATAATGCTAATTTTATCTTGATAACTAATTGATAAGGTGGACATTCGAATCGTGTTACACTATCTAAATATTTCGATCAAGAATTACTTCCAAGGGCAGATGAGAAAACAGGTCTTCCAGTTTCCCATTCGTGTATCCAGCGGAGTGGGTAGCACGGAAGTGCTGACAGGATGAAGAATGCCCCCACATATTGGAAGGTACTGTCCATGTTTCCCGTCGTGTCATTCAGCCACCCTGATAATAAATTAAAAAATCAATTAAAAATAATCTGACATCAAACTATTCAAATTTTTATAAAAAGCCTAAACCAGTTTTCGGTTAACCGATTTTACTATTCTTCAAATTATAGACTCATGTAGTTTCAAGGTAGGCCGAATGGTGCGTATTAATCACATGGCACTTGGACCGAATTTCGAATTAATTTACATATTTATTAAATACACTGAATCATTTGTTGTCGTGCTGAATCATTTGCCGATTTCGGTGTGTTTAAAGTGACGATATTTCTATGTATTGCTACTTTTTTTGTGCATATCCGAGTCAATACATGCATTCCTTGTTGCCACCTACCTGCGAAAGCATTTCCACAATAGAGCGAAATCCCCATGAAGAAAATGTTCAGACCAAACGCCAAGCTGTACTTCTCCTTTCCCATGTATTGGTAAACTACGACGGAGCGGAGGGATGCGAGCACGCCTAAGTGTGTACATTAAAATGGACTGTTTAAAACCTTCAAAATTTCAAAAATCTGTCCCTATCAATTCCAAGTATTGCATACTCAAATAAATTAAAAAACCCGCCAACTAACCAATCATTTGTCCATATAATGCCGCGTAGAGAGCCAGCATCCAGTACTTTGTCGCATACACCGTCATCATGGTAACAAATCCGCCAAGCGTTAACGCCACATTTATCAGCATCAAGGAATAAACCGCTCGATCTGAATTTGCCAAAATTCCAAACCCAAATCGAGCCAAGGTGTTAGATCCTCCAATAATTGCGGGAAGCCAGGTGGCTTGGTCCCACGTGGCGTTAAATGGTGGCGCCATGGCTCGGTCTAAAAACAAACTGAATAGTTACCATTGTTACCAAAGTATTGCCGACTTCAATTTTCTTATCCGAACATGCAAAAATTTCTCCAAGAAATATTAGTTTCAAGATTTTTTTAAAATATTACGACTAAGTGAGTAACCAGCACCATATTTAGAATTTTAAGAGATGTTCTGTCTAATCATTTACATACATATTACTTACATATTACCTGCAATAAACGCTGATGGCATAAAATATCCCAATGCACCGAGTCCTCCTGTTACGCAAAGTATCCAACAAGTCGGCGATTTAACAAGTTCTTTCAACAAAGTTGTGTCTGATTTCCGGTCTGCCAGAACCTTGCAGACCTTTTCAACTGAAACGAAAGAAATGGAAACTTCACAAATTTGACAAACTCAGCGTTTTCGATCATTCAAAATTCACATGGAAAATTGAAATTTATGTACATACACTGAAAGAATAACCATTGTGGCGTTTCTCCTCAACATAAGGAAAATTGAAGATCAAACTTAGGTAAATTCAAGGAGAAAGCCAATGCTAAAAATTGATTCTACATATAAAAACACGTATGTATGTATGTACATAATTCTCAATATGTGTCGATTTTTAAATACGATAGGGAGTTTAGGTGAAGTTGCACTGGTCACGAATTTTTAATAAACGAATAAATTTTCCAGTCTACTTTACCTCGTGTCGGACATTCTCTGTACAGTGCTCCAAATCCTATCGAAACGATACAGCATCCCGACAAGAATAGCATAGACCCCTGCCAACCGTAATAACCGACTATCCACCCCAAAACTTTTGGCGTTGCAAGGGATCCCAAAGCACTCCCAGTAACGGCCAGGCCTAGAAACTTTGTCAATTAAATTTATTTTGAAGAGCAAATTTGTTTCCTTAAATGTTTCCACATAATTTTTTATGTCAAATTTTTTTCATCAGATTTTTGCATATACATCTGTATTTACCAGTCGCGAAGGGAAGATTGCTCGCAAAAAACTTCCCTAAAATGATGATACTGACGGTGAACATGAGTCCAAACCCGACCCCGACGAGAAGCCCGAATCCTACCAGGAAACCTGTAAATGATGGAGCTTCACCCCATGACCACGCCCAGGAGAGGAAGAATCCAACCGCGGCCGTTACAGATCCCAGGATTGATACGGTGCAGAAACCCAAGGTGCTACATAGGAAGGGAATCATGGGGCCTACGCAGGAAAAATATTTCTATTAAATCCATAGAATATAAAGTAATAGAAGAAGCACTCTGCTCTTTGCTAAGCAAGTAAGGGGGATGACTCTCCACGTCACATACGAGAGGTCGCCAGATGCCCTCAATGTTAAACTAAATGGCAAACTCACAGAGTTAACTCCTACTCCATCTGTGTGTGACGTGGAGCATCTCTTTCTGTGTCTTTATATCGTGGTGGTTAATTATTCGTCGCTAGAGCCCTCACTAACACTATCTCTTACGCATTTTGTATTTACCCCATTGGCAAATCCTACCCATTGATTAAATCTTACAGTTTTCAGTTTGGGACGGATATTTATGAAGGGCAGTGTACATAGCGGATTTTTTCTAAACTCATTGGTAAAACCATTGGTAAGCTTCTACATAAAAAATCCAAATTATGCTACTGTGCGGAACATTGGTCTATACCATATCGCCACCGTTTTCACTATGAAGAATTATCAAAATATTATCAAACTTGGCTAACGTGTGTATTGGTAATGCTGAAGTCTCAAGTAGTACAAAAATAATTGTCAACTTTATGCTGTTTCAATTTGCTAAATGACTTTGACTTTCGCTCCACCTATGAATGTACATGTACTTCCTTTTCTGACATAAATTAAGATAAGTGAGATTTCAACACTATGGCTTATCTCATCCTCAGTTATGTATTCCGGTATAAAGGGTGGTATAAAATATGTACCGCAAGGTAAATATATCTTGCCCACACGCGTACATATGTATTCAAATCATAATAATAATTTACCAATTATAAGTTGCGTCCCCAACATGACCGAACCACAGAGATGGAATTGAAATTCAGATAAGGATTTCTGCTCCGTAACTTTTTGGGTGAGGACGCCATACGAGAAAGATACGCCATCAAGAACAAAATTATTTAGCAGGGAGGCCGCCGCAATCACCCAGGCGGATCCACCATCCAGAGCGTATTCGACTTCCTGTTCTTCCCATATTAAGGCCGAATCTCCAGGGGAATGTTTTTTCTAAATTAATTAGCGAATTAAAAAAATTGCATATGTATTTATTTTAATAGGAAATACATATATGTAAATATTAAAGTAGGTTAAAAATCTGTCTTAGCCGCAACCTCATCGTAAATAATTACAAAACGAAATGAGGTCGGATACCGCAATTAGGTAAATTCATACATTAATTCAAATTTTAGAGGTACTTATCTTAAGATTAGAGATTAAGATATAATACTTCCAACTATTACGTTACCTTGCGAGTAATAATTAAACTTAAGTATTGACTTTTACCTCAACATTATTTTGATTGTGATAACCATTCCCAATCTTTTTAATTTTACCACACTCCATAATCAATTATTGAGATATTTTAGAAAAACTGGAGGCTAAAAACCCGACGTCCAAGAACAAGAAGATACAGATATCAAAAACATACATACATCCAGTTTTATGAAGGGTAACTTGTTTGTAAGGCTTACATATGCACTTTTTCAACAAGTGATACTTAACTACATAGTTTAAGACCACATTGTTCTACTTACATAAGTTGTCTCAATTTAAACTTTTTATTAATTTATTACTGGCCATTAAACTTATCATGAGTTGGACAGAGTGGTATGAGTATGACTTCATAATTTGTCCTCGCTTATTTATAATCAATCTGCTGAATCGAAACGGCTTTTTCTTGCGTTCTATTTGTTGTAACAATAATTTTGTACAATGTACATACAATATGTATGTATGGTAAATAGTTATTCGGGTAGATGGCGGAGACAAAATGTTTATTTATGTATACAGAGGGTGGTTAAAATGTCATGCTACAACGGAAAATTTTTCGATGGAAAAAATTCGTAAATTTCCATTAGTTACAGAAATTTTACAGAAAATGTACCACCAGACTAATCCGGTTGGAAGTTGTTACCTAACCAATACCAGTACGGAGTATGTACATATGTGACTCCACCAGATTTTTAACAGTGGTGGTCAAACATCTCAAAAAGTATACCACTACAAAATAATGTTTTGTTTATTACCTCTTCACTTAATCCTAATTTCGTAGCTGACCTAAAATTTGTCAGCCGTACTGTGTCGGCGGCACATCCACCACGCAGATCCATCCCCCTGGATTAGAAATGTATCTGATTTTTTTTGTGCGTGGACGGATTGAAGTCGCGTATTGTGTATTGATCCCAATACAGATATGTTACAGAAATGATTGATGATGAATGACAGCCAAGACAATGATGAATAATTCAGTTATGTTCCCACATCATCTGGAGTCATTAAAAATTGCCTATTTTTCTGCTTATTTAAATGGGAGGAATAACTGAGTCGTTTAAAACCAGTTATGGTCTTTAACTACGCTGGCAAAATTTACATTATTCATTAGATTTTCAGATAATGAAAAATGTCCATGGCATGATTTTACATTTAAGAGCTGAACACCAAATTTCTACTGTGCATACATACATAAGATTCAAACTTGTAGTAAGGAATTTCAAATGAAATTCTTACCACCATTTAACCAAATGTCACTGTGCATCACAAATATGAACCCAACGAACAAAAAAATTACTTTAGAGAAAAACTGACAGACCAATTATAATAAATGATTCGGCACCCGGTCACTTAAAAATTGTTTGACACACAATCCTGTTAAATGTACTTTACAATAAATATTTATTTTATCCATTAACTCAACAAAATAAATTCAATTTCATCATTACTCAACTTTGGATTAATCAAATTGTTGAAACCAGTGGCCGCGGGACAATGTCCCCACGGTAATTCTATGTCCCCAGCATCTGCCCATATTAGATAAATTCTTCCCTCCCCTATCCAACAATGTTATTAATAATGCCCCAAGATCCCCCCACAGTTTCCGAGGCCACTGGTTGGGACCAATCCGTCTGGAATTAATTTCTTCGGTTGACAGAAAACATGATGACAATAATCCATCCTACACACATCGATTTAATTCAATGTCACATGAAGGTAAAGTGGTATTATATGTACATATTTGATATAAATATTTTCATGGATTCAGCATCATCCCCATTTCTTTGTAAATTAGTATTAAATAAGTTTTTCTTAATATGTGTAGTTTCAAACACAATATTATTTATAATCTATGTAAATCCCAGGGAATTATCCTCCAATTTATTTATACTTTTTAAGTACCCTACAATCTCTCCCGCTGTCGGTCTTTGATTACCAACCGGGTTTAACATTTTTGCCAAAACTTGTCCAACCCCAGAATCCCACACACTCGACAAGTTATCCCCAACTAAATTTAATTTTTCTAAAAAACATGACAATAATTCGACATCTTGTCCCCCCTTGTATTTTATGAGATGAAATACAGCTCGTTTTTCATCCCGCTCAAAATTGTGTAACACCTCGCAGAATATTAACCCCGCGGAATAAATATCCGAAGCGGAAGTGTAATTATGCAGGACTTCTTCCACCTCTGGGGCACGGTATAAGGGCGTCGATACCAAGCTGTCATTACCCTCTAAATTACGGGACAAGCCGAAATCACCAATCTTAAATATCGTCACGTCCTTTTGTAACATTTTAAACAAAATATTGGCCGGTTTTAAATCGCCATGGATAACTTTAACCTCCGAATGTAGATAATCCAGTCCGGAAGATACTTGACGGATAATGTCCATTTTAAGGGGAGGATTTAATTGATGCTTTTCCTTATCCAGAAATTGTGCGAGATCGCCATCGCATAATTCCATCTTTATGAAGAGCGTGGTTGAGGTGGGTTCGTTTTCATGGGCACTTATCTGCTCAGGTTCTCTCCATGAGTCAAAATAACGGACCACGTTGGCATGCCGCCATGTGGAGGAAGTCTCTAAAACTGTGTCCTTGATTATTGGCTCCTCAAGTCTGGTTACTTTGACGGCAAATAACTCTTTTCCATGTCCTTCGGCGAGCCATACCGAGCCGAAGGACCCCTGGCCAATAATTCGTTGGGGGACGAGGTGACTTGATGTTTTCCAAATTTGCTTGTAAGAAGGATCGTTTCTATTACTGTGGTCACGTAGAAGTGATTGTCGAGCGGAAAAAGTTTGCGTGAGAGTTTCTGAGATTTCAATGATTTCTTGTTCCGTGGGGAAAACGTTATGTTCAGGTATCGTCGAGTCAAAGATGGTGGTTGAATTTGTCTTGGCCTGAACAATTAAAAATTTTGCGGCACCTGTTAAGCACATTATGATTAATAATTTAATTCAATGTAAAAAAAACGTGAATAAATTTGGGGCACGTACGGTAAATGGCTAAACGTTTTACAGGGCAAACATCCTCAAAGTTGAATAATTTTCCTCCTGAATTTTGGCAATCTGTACGCCAATATTTGGCGAACAGTTTTTCCGCACATTTTTTAATAGTTTCACACTTTTTGGCTGCATGCCAGCGTTCCGCAGAAAATTGAACGGCGTCCTTTAAGTAGAAATTAATAGTAAAGTAAGCATAATGTTTACTTTTGATTAAACTGGGTATTCTCGTACCACAAAAATATCCGTATTTTCTGGGATTGTTAACTTCGTCAGTGCTTGAACCGTTTGTGTATGATTTCCAAGGGAAGGGATGGAGCCTAATTTGCCCAATTGGATTATCCTGGTAAACGTTTTACTGTAGTCGAGCTGACGAAAAGTCCTTTCCAAGGCGTCATCCACGCTGCGAGGATCTGACGGGTTTACTGTTGGGCTGTCATCCGCCTCGGTTACCATGGTAACGGGGTCTTGCTCAATTTTGGCGTTTAATTTAGCATCGCATCTGTCAAAGTCCAAAATATCGGTGGGCAACGGGATAGAGTCGCTACTCGTGGTGGGACAAACCTATCGTAAATTTGAGGTGGCGTTAAGTTAAAAACTGACTTAAGATGCATAAATTTATTTTTAATTACGGATTCAAATGTCCCAAAAACTGAATTAATTATAGCTGTCTCTTTATCATTTGGCCATTCAGTTGGTTCGTAGGACCAAGGATTCTGATTTTTGTTCAGCATCCATTTCGATGCTCCTATTAAATTGATAATAATAATTTCTTAAAGATAGAACAATTACTAATACAATTAATGAACGTATTCACGACAACGCCCGTGTGAAAATGAATATGGCGAATTCGGCAGGATTCGGCAAAATCATCCTGCATAAACCATTCTGCACAAAACTTTATGGAGTTTTCTGCACAAATCTAACTCAAGATTCGGTGAATAGAATATGCAGAAAAATGTTTGCAGTTTTCTGCATAAATCGAAAAACGACAATTGACTGGTGATTTCTGCGGAGCAATTTCTGCATAAATTTTTATGTTAATTTATAAAAGTTATAAAATGCGTAACAAATATATTTATTTGCAAGTTTTAGAAGAAATTATTTTATTCAAATTCTACTGTATTCATCAATTGTGTTGCAATGGACAAACTTCCTTGGTTATCATGTTGACCAATGAACTTAAAATTTTCAATATCCGAAGGTAAATAAATTTGAACATTATTGCTTACATAGTTAATTTTAAATGATTTTGGAGAATTCGAATAATCAATAGTACTGCATCTTTTTACAAAAACCAACGCATTGCTAACACCACTAAGTATGATAATTTTAAATATAACAAACAATTTTCCATTAATTTTTACAACGGAGTTGACATGTTGTTTTGTATCACTACTACAAACATTAACAAACAATTTTTTATATAAAATACAGGATTTAAAACTAAAACCTTCAGAATGTTGATGACCAATAATTTTAAGCTTAGCTTTTTCAGAGGTACTAAAAATATACAATTTTTTGCTTCCTAATAATCTACAATTATCAATGGAATAAGAATTTTTAAAAAATCGCTTGCATTCAAGCAAAGATTCATGAAATTGCTTAGCCCCACTTCTCCGAGACTGTAGACCTTTTGGGTGCAAATAGCTCGATTAACAATTTGAGTACTGATTTCTCTAGTACCACAAAAACTATTTTTGAGAATACCATTGTAATTTTCAAACTGAAATAGAGAATATCCCCAAAGTGGGCCCCATTTTCTCACATTTTCCGCTGCGTGGGTTAATAAATGAACATTAAAAGAACAATAACTTTGGCCATAGAGGTTTGGAATAAGCATTGAAAATTCTTTGATTAATATTTCTGCTACCAATATTTCATCCATTGTTACACTATCTTGACACAAAATCGAAATGGAATCTACAAGTTTAGCAAAGTGTTTTAAAAAACAATCTTGAAGAATTCCTTTTAGCAGCGGCACCGCAATTAGCATCCAATTTTTCCATTCGTGTGCCTTCCAATATTTAATGCTGCTGAGATCCCTTATTGTCCTGCTGCAGTTCTTGGGAATTTTGCATCTTCTTAATTTTTGATTTATTTGATTTTCCTTATTTCCAATGTAAAAGATTTCCTGATGATTCTTGGGCAAAATCCAGGCAAATGTCAACATTCGTACGACTCCCAGTAAAACAGTGTGCATGTAGTCAAAAACGAAACCATCGACGATTGAAAAATGTGGAATTTTCAAGAGAGGGGAGGCCAATTTAATTCCATAACGATTTGAAATAGATGATCCAGTTGATAGCAAGTCTCGAAGTTCCAAAAGCTGATTAAAAAAATGTTCCTTGTTTCGATTCGCAGCAATTTCAGTTGGCGGAAAAATCCATTTATGACTTCTGTCCCCTGTGGACAAATTGAGCCCTTTAGCCTGACACCATGGACAACTATACTCCCCATTGAATTGATTAATTCCTTGCAAGGGGGCACGAGCGACGGAATCGGCTGCAAGCATTGGGAAAAATATTTTACTTTTAATTTCCACCCCATTAAAATTCCATTGGATTCCTTCCTTTGATAATTGATTTGATTGATTAATTAGTGGGTCAAGAAAAAGTTTGAAATTTGGCTTGCTATCATTAAACCACAATCCAGCCAAAATGGTGTGCTTTCTTCTTAAATCGTAATCCAATTCGTTGATTGAAAGAAGTAGAGGCCAAATGCATGACTTGGAAGAGTTGAAAATCGAAACGCCGTCCGTGTTGATGCAACAAGTTATGTCAAATTTTGATAACTTTAACTTTTTATATGCTTCTCCATCCATTATTCCGGATGACTCGTTATTATTAAATTGACGTTTGGCAAAATTCTTTTTTAAACATTGTGCAATATTTTTTCTCTCCAATAGTTGCTTCATGATTGTTGCAATGTCAAATGACACGAAAAAGTTGCCGTCCTTTGTAGCATTCCTTCCAGACTCTTGACAACTGGCGCAACTTCCGTTTGTCTCCAAAATATTTTGACAATTGGAGCAAAAGGGGATCTTTTTTGCCTGATCGTAGCAAGGATTCAGTTTTTTGCTTAACAAGTAGACAGATGAAGGAATTGTTTCCCCTTGTGGGAGGTGAAAATTGATTAAGGTCAAGAGGTCTGATAACGCTGATTTGCTAATTTTGTGTCGAAAGGCATATCCAAAAATTAACAAGCAGCTTTCATTTGCAGTTAGTTGAGAGTTGGGGAAAATTGGTTGAGATTGGGATTTTTCTTCGCTCTGTGAACAAATAAATCATGGGGTCATATTATATTAATTATTATTTATAAACATACTTATCTTACGTCATCATATTCTTCATCACTGGATAAATCATCAATCCCTGGCATTGAATTATCATTATAAGCAACAACCTGTATGAAATAAGAAGAATGTAAACTATTGTAATGCCAATAAAAAATTTAAAAATACATTATCATCCAGATTGGTTTCTTCCTCATGTTGTGGGCTATTGCCGTTGACCTCCTGTGTATTTTGAGTTTCATGTTGATTATCCAAATTACGACGAACGCCCTAAAAAACAAAAAATGCTGTTGCTTAACAAGTTTCAACTAAAAATTATTTTATTACCTTTTGACTAATTCTGTAACGCGTTCGGCGAGGGACGAAAAGTGACCTACTTGACCCACCAGTTGGAGTAAAATATTTTTTATAATTTTTTCGTGTTGACATTATTATTTAATTATTAATTATTGAATTAACTTTTTATATACGTACACATCGTAAACTTATTATTTTGTTAATTCAATAATTGAAGACTAAATACTGCCCTAAGCCCATGCCATCGAAGTTTAGTATTTCACACATGGTCAAAACTTTTAACTTTTTTCTTAAAAAATAAACTTAACATAAAATAAAATGTCGTTTTTATTGGTCGAATGGTCAGAAGATGACTTTAAGACATATTCTGTTGTGTCAATTGACCAATTAGAAGACGGAATTTTGCGTGCGAATCCTGGAAAACTTGTTGGAACTGTCGTTGCAATTAAATGGAAAAGGAACTCTATCCATCGTGGTCTCGTTTTACAAATTGGTAATTATTTTCATTATTTTCGAACAAATTAAAGTGATATATTTAAAATAATATATTTTTTAAAGGGAAACACAAAAATCTCTCTTTGGAAGCTGACAAGTTAGCCGTAAAAGCAGCTGACGAAGCTTCAATCATTAAAGAAAAAGACAAGAGCAAATTTGATAACTCTTCACGAATTAAAAGTAATTTTTGCAATATATTTTTTGAAATTCTAATTTTATATGAATTAATATTTTTTCCAGTGCAAAAATCTAAAAACCGAGCCAATGAAATTACAGAAATTGCATCCCAAATTCCTTCTTCTCAATCAGTTGACATGAGTTTAAATGCGGAATTTGCTGACCCTCCTTTGGATAACGAAACAGTATCAAAAGGTGTTATATAAGTATATAATACTTCTATTTACAAATTAATTGATTCGGATTTTCAGAGAAGTATGATCGTCTCAAAGGACGTCACGATAGGTTGAAGGAGAAATATCGCGAGTTGAAAAAATTGGTAGAGAATTCTCACGAAGTAAGTCATATGTGCGTATCTACATTCGCAATGGAATGATTTTAAATAACATTTCTAAGTGACATAAATTTTTTAAGGTTGAATTATATGAAGGGTCTGGAGTTACATTGCCAGCTGCTGAATTAGCTTCGATAAAGATTATGTCGAATAAACCAACAACCCTGGCCAGGAACTTGTTTCGTCGACTTTTCTCTCCGGAAGAACTAGCGAGTCATTCCCTAAATGGAAAAATTTGTAATGCAAACCAATTAGCTCCCCCACTTCCAAAAATTGACACAGCCAAATCTGATGCAGTAATTAGTAAGTGGCAAATTAAATTCTACAACAAAATCATATCAAATTTTACAATATGTATAATTTATTTATTTTTGATTTACTAATTACGGATTCCCTTTTTCCAGAATTTGTTCTTAAAGAAGAAGGATTCGACAACTCACCAAATGCTGACATTAATGAGGCCAACAAATCGTTTTTGAAGAACAAGAAGGCGGTAAAGCGAGAGATTAAGAAATCTCTATCGGATTTCCTTAGAGAGTGTAAGAAACGAAAAGATTAAAATATTTAAAAATATTTTTGCTTTAATAGTTTGTGAAAAATTCTAAAATAATTTAAAGAATTAAATAAATATCTTTTGACGAATGAATTCTACCAAAAGTTTTATGCCTAATTTATTCTGCACAAAAGTGGGCCAATTTTAGCTCCTAAAGTTTTATGCATAAACAAAACTGCAGAAATTTTTCTGTAGCTAGTTTTCTGGCTAAAATTTTCTGTACAAAAGTGGGCCAATTTTAGCCATAATTTCTGCCGAATTCGCCACTATATTTTCTGCAGAATTTGGCTCATTTTTTTCACACGGGCGTCCTATTTCGCAATTTCGCATCGCAAATAATTTAGTCATGTGCTAAAGACTTGTAACGTGAGGGGATTCGCAAAACACGACTTTGCAAATCTCGGAAATATGCTTCTAAAAAATACCTGTTTGGAAATGCATGTTTTTATTGCAATGTTTTTATTCCATGAATTTCTGTAATTTCTCACACTGGTGAAGATGAGCCTGCGAAATAATTTTGCGAAATACCTATGTAAAAATATGTTGGGTATTGGGTAATAAACTTGTGAAAAAAATCCCATAGTTTTCTGGCAAAAGTTTTGCGAAATTTAGCAAATTTCGGAAAGCTTCGCATGTTATGCTCAGTTTGCGAAGGTTGACGTGATTACGCTCAATTGTAATTGATTGGTAAATGATTAATTACTTACTGAGTATGACCACCCTTTTAATACTGGGTAATTGGTCGACCCTGCCAAATTTATTCCTCTGGATTAAGTCCTCCTCAGAAAATATAGCGCTACACAGTGTCTCCGCAATCTTTGATAAGTCAAAGTGAAGAAAAGCATTGGCCCAATGAGTCGGTAAGATCTCAATCTTCTCTTCCAATACCTGAATGTGTACAAAGATTTCAGTAAAATATTGCCCTCTAAATAATTTGGAGACAAATCCTAACCTGCAGTTGTATAATAATGCTCTACTTTTGGATAATGATTAAGGAGACGTTTTGTTACCAACGGGAAATAAGTCAAAAACCGACGTAGTTATCAAAAAATTCAATACTTTCATCTACAAAAATCCTATTTTGAATAGTAAAAATGTTTAAAATAATTAAAAAGTTTTTAAAATTACAAATTGTGTTTAATTAACGACGTCACGTCTGTTCTGCACATAAGTTTTCGACCTATTTTCCATTAGTACTAAAACGTCTCCTTAATCATTACCCAAAAATAGAGCAGTATACATACATATCTTACACCTCTGTTACATATGTACAGTGCTGATTTTTAGATTTCAAATTATTTACATAAAATCGTCAACTAACCATCGCTTCCTCCATGAAAGGCAGGAAATAAATTATGTGATCCTCGACAGTTTTATAGGACACGGAACTCTCCCTACACTCGTTTAAATATAACGTCCTGCTCGCCTTAACAATGCCGGGACATCTTTCCAGAAACCGTTGAGCTTTCTCGGGTAGTTCTTGTACGTCTCGCCCCATTCGGCGTTTCCGGTCCGTGTTCATTTCACTAATATGGCAGGGTCTTATGTAAATATGTACAGTACATATATATGCACATGTATAAAGAGGGTATTCATTATTCCCTCGTATCAAAAAATCATTTACCAAGAAAATCAAGGCGTCGTAAAAATCGAAAGCGTGATTTTCGTGATTTTTAATGAAAGAATCTTACCACGCTTACAAAATCTCGTAAACGTCATTACTTATTTTACGATACGAAGAAGTAATGAATTACCTCACGATATAAAAAAATATGGGATTTTCTTACCGAAAATTATTTCCAAAGTGTAGAAATTCGAATTATTTTTGTAACTGCAAAATTTAACTGGGCATGAACTGATTGAATAGAATATCTCTCGTGTTATGAACATACATATGTACATAAGATGACTGCTAGCATATGTACCGCATCTCCTTCATGAAACCACTCCATGCCTACCAAACATACTCTCATGAAGACATCATGAAACTTTCATGAAACATTTCATGGGCACTTTTCATTCATGAGAGTTTCATTCATGAAGCTCTTCATGAAGATTTGCATACACATATGTATTGTATTACAGCTTTGAATGCACACCATTGGATGGATTACCTCATATTGTGTAGGTATGTATTACATAATAAGGATGGAGTGACTCTCATGTCCAGTTTTCGCGTATGTGCTTATATACATATGCTAATTTGTTCATGAAATGCATATGTGTAGATACTCATGCTATACCGAGCAATGTGTTTATTGCATTTGTAGAGATGAATAAAGCGTATTTTAGTACTTAAAAAATTCTGATTCTGTTCGTCTGGATATTTTTAATAAAAAAATTAATCTTCGTTTTGATTAAATTTGGAAAAGTGTTAATCTTTAGTTTACTGAGTAAATTCGCATTTTCTTCAATCTTTACCTGATTAAGTGAGAAGTTCTCTTGTGCCAATATTTTCCAAGAGTTGCATACAAAATAAACGCATGTTTCTTGTTAATACAATTATCTGCTTAAACAAACCTATTAAATTATTATGCCACCGACCAAGAAGTTTAAAATTGAGGACCCGATTGACCTGAGTAAGTCAATAATCCTCTAAAACAAACATTTGTATATATCAGTCGATTCTATTTCTTGGACATGATTATCAATAATTTTTTTTTCCATTTGCGTATAAAAGAAAATAAACAGTCATATGTATGTACATATTTCAGTAATATATTTATTGATCTGTCTTAAACTTACAGAAAAGAAAAAAATGGCAGCAATAATTGAGGCAACGTTTCCATCCTGTAATAATGAACTTAGCCAAATTAATAAGTTGTACTATATATTTAAAACGTTAGAAACTGTACCAATTGTAAGTTAACCAAATGAATTTCCAATTTTATAATTTCAGAGGATTAATTCTCATGCATGTGTGGAAGCCGTTAATTTGGCATGATTTTACCTTTAAAATATGAACCTACAAATTGTGTGTGCTTGCAGATACTCCATACGGGAACGTATACGGAGGATATTATTATTTCACGAGATAAATGGGCCACGGCCTGCTTAATATTTAATTTAGAAGAATGCACCAAACTACTGTGCCAAGCGATCCTTACCAGCGACGACGTTAATAATCAACAAGGTGGAAATCTTACCAATAAAAAATATGCTATTATAAGTAAGTGATTGAATATGTACATACATAAAAATATGAAGTTATGCAAATACATATTTTATTAATTCTAACTACACAAAGGTGCCGTGGGATGGATCATTAATAAAGCTAATGACTTCTGGCTATCTCCTGCAAATATTGACGATAATATAATTTGGCCTACCCAAGAGGCAATAGAAGAAAGAACGATTGTATCAAATTTTGTAGACAATTTTATAGAAAATATTAAACTGGTACGTACCACTATTCATTATCTAATACAGTTGACAGTAAGTACATACATACATACGTAGATATATGGAAAATTATGTAATTCTATTTAATACGTGTAGCTAGATGATAAAGCCGGCCAGCCGGATGAATTACAATCTACCTCATTTCTCGAAAACGTGGAGGATGAAATACTCTTAAAATTCAAGCAAATTTATGATAAGGCTGTTAAAACCTCATCCTTTAAAGATTCCTACGAAATTTTCGAGTATTTAATACGAGCCTATGATGAAGGGAGGGATAAATTCATTGTGAGTGATAACACTATAATTTTACGTCATATTTTCTTAATCTTTACTGACCCTGAGCAACTCTGTGCCTCGTGAAAACAAAGAGAGGTCAGAGCAGAGAAGGGTTCAGATACCTTGTGAAGTCACAAAAATTGAAACTTTGCCATAATTAAAAAAAAACATTAACAGGGCATTTTTGTCCTTCCAAATTTTTCGATATCTCTAATACTGGGACCGTTTTATAGAATGGAACGATGTATGAAATCCCTTTATGGAAATTTCTTGTCTATAAAATACAGGTCACAGATGTGAGATATGAAAACAATTTGCAGAAAAAAACCCTATATATGTTTCCAAAATTATGACAAGTTGCTAATTTTTTGCTTGCGCGGTATTCCAACCCTTTTTTGCTTCATCCAACTGCTTCTTCTGTCAGGCACAGAGTTGCTCATGGTCAGTACGTGCAATATATAATGCATGCTTTTTAAACAGGGAGGAGTATCACTTAATCCAGACGATTACTTTAAAGCCTACTTATCACATAGTGATATCAACCTAGTGACAAATACGATTATTACATCGTTAGTAAAAGATTTAGGACACGAACACCTTAATGAATGGCGCACCTCACCTATAATAAAATTAATAACTTACCGTCAGCTCCAACACAAATCAACTCCTAACTTAAAACCGAATTCGGATAATAACCTTCTCAAAAATATTTGCAGAATGCGTAGGCCACATTAGAGCTCGTCATGCAAAGATGTTCGTTACATCGGCCAAGTCAGGAGATAGAAGATTCCTAACTAAAGAGGAGATAAATCAATTAAACGATACTGCATTTACTACGCGTCTACCTGAGGACGTTAGAACCCCAGTAGAATCACAATCACAAAATTATGTTGAATCCGTAATGTACCAAATTGTAGAGTCCAATATTTATAACGATGTCTCCATTTGGGGTCAGTTTCCATCTTCGAGTGCTGCTAACATCATGTCTCAATCCGAATATAGTGGTCTTGACCACTTGGCCACCTCAAATCAAATTATAGAATTATTTTCTGAGGAAGCGGAAGCATCATCCTCTTCTTCCGTGATAAATGAGTTTGAAAGATATCAATTAAAATTTAGTGGAGAAATAGAAACAGATCTTCCTTCTTGGACAGAAAAGGATTATATGACTAGTCAAGAGAGACCTCAAATGGTTAGCAGTTTACCAGATTTGGAAATATTATAAGATATTTATGATTTTTTTTAATGTCTAATAAATTTTCAAAAACATGAAACATCTAAAAAAACATTTGTTTCTTCTTATTGAATTTCAGCTATTAAAATCTGAAGAGATAGCAAAAATGGCTTTAATATTTACAAGCGACAGCCTAGCTGGCTGTAAGTGTCTCATGAAAAAAATATTCAATACGACTGAACTACAAGGAATGAATTGGTCTGGGAGACCATCTATTAATGGAGGGCATAAGCATGCCGCTTTTATTAAGAATCCGAAAACATTCTTCATATTTTGTAAACATAATAATTTTTTGCACAAACTTTAAAAAAATGTTTTTCGTTTTCTCTATAATTGTTAAAAAAATTTTATTTCTTATAGATTTTCTTCGCTTAATGAAAACAAGTGCCAAACTAAAAGTTAATTGGGATAAAGTACATGAGGATACATCTATTCAGTTGGAGGCTTTAACGGATCTTGAATTTTACAAGATTAAGCAACATATTTTCATTGACAAAGCAACGAAAACAAAAATAACGGGATGCATGAGTAAAGGCGATCTTAATAAGTGATATATATTTTATATTTTTAAAAAATTGTATAAAATTATAAATTATGTTTTAAAAAAATTATATAAAATCACAAATGATATATTATATTTAAAAAAATTATATAAAATCAAATGATATATTATGTTTTAAAAAAATTATATAAAATCATGAATGATATATTATATTTAAAAAAATTATATAAAATCATAAATGATATATTATATAAAATTAATTTCATAACACTTTTTATTACACTTGAATAATTTATTCAGATTCAATTTATTATGTATCACCTACTTACTGACCTGTGCTAAATAGTGGAAATAATTGTAATGATTTATGCATGTCGAAACACAGACTTACACAATAAAACATACAACAACAACAAAAACAATTATAAATCTGTGAAAATAAACAAGTACTAAATTTGATTTTAATTTTAGCTTTTATGCACTACTAAACTTCTTCGGGTTATGGGTAAAAATAAGGCTATAAAAAATTTATTAAATGTCTGGCATTAGTAACAAAACTTTTCTTAATAATTGATCTGGAAAATAATTATATATGTAAGAAGAAGTGTCTCCACACGAGGAATCTTTTTCAGTCTCTGAATTAAATGAAATCAATTTAACTACATGTTGTTCATGTATTATATACATACATACATACATATGTATACCAACCAATGTTAAAAGTTTGCCTCTTTCTTAGTCAAATGTGATCAATTTAAATCTTGTGTGAGATGGGGTTAAACATTGTTTGCAATTTTATTATGCCGAATTTTACATATTGACATAAAAATATAAACTTACATTTTGTAAATATGATGTGTCGAAAATTTAGGAATTGGTTGGGTGAGATTTTTCAGGAGGGACCGTGCCTATGTATGTACAAAGAGCTCGACCAGCAGATCTTCCTGAAAATAAACTGCGTAATTTTTGCCTAATTTACAGTGAAAGCCGCATATTTATCAGTTGCTAAATAGGACAAACTTTGTCCGAAATTTGTCTAAAGCATCATGCGCTCTTAACTTCCTTTCACAAATTCTTGGAAAAATTTGGTTAAGCTATTCAAAAATTGATATAAAGACTTATGCAAGTTACATTTTCCGTATTGCAGAACTGTCGTCAACTCAACCTTGACGTGGCAGTGCACGAGGTGTTTATTTACTTATTAGAACTGCACAAGGTACATATATATAATTATGCAGGCTAAAATCTGGCACATAAATGTTTGATTGAATGCAAGCCTTTACTCCAGATAAAATTTGCAAAGCAATTAACCCAATTTCTATGAAATTCGTAATGTCATGAATAATTTAATAAGGATATTGCATGCGCTTAAAACCCGAAATTTTTTCCTAGGTTTCATCACAAAGTAAGAACCCATTTAAGCTTCGCTAACCTAAGGTTCATAATTTAATAAAAGTTCCAAAAACTTATAAACCAAGATTTTCAAATGGTTCGACTGGAAACATTTCTCTTCCTTCTCACTGTCACTCTAGTATTTGGACAGGATGTAAGTCGTATAAATTCATGTCATTTTTTATCGGTTGATAAATATGAGAAATTCGCATCCTCAATTTTTCCCTGATATCTGTACATGAAACCACTATGCGCAATAGATTGTACGGTTAATACAGATATTTGCGGTACTTCGTTACTTCCAATTTTTCAATTTCCCAGATGGTTGTCAAGTTTACAAGTTTTTTAAAATTTTAAAATTTCCTTCATTTTTCAAAAATAGGCAGAGTACGACTCTATGGGCTACTCTGTGCGCAATCTGGAAAAGGAATATGGGGAAAAGGAGACCCTTCGCGTCTTCCAGGAGGGAAGGATCGAGGACAGGATCCCCTCCTACATAAAAGAGCTCTATTCCAAGAACAGGACGGAGGGGGAGGAGACGAAGCAAATTTATGACGAGCTACAAGCCGAACTTGGCGAGAACAGGGAGGCCAACGAGGCGTGGACCGTGGTCGCGAGGGGGAAGGCAGCCAGCATGAAGGACGTTCTTGACGCCTCCTTCCGGCTCGATGCCACATTTGGTGAGGTCAATGGAATCGTTTCCCGTGAGAAACGAGGTTTTTGGCGTTGGGTTAGGAGAAACTGGAGAAAAATTGTTCGTGTCGTTGTTACAATTGGATCAGCTCTATTGCAGAATTCAAGAAACCAATATTCGATGGGCTGATTTTAAAATTACATTCTGGAATAATTTTGACATGAAATAATTAATTTTTTTTGATCGAATTAAAACTTATATGCTAATTTCCCTTCTTAAAGTTGTCATGCTATGACAAATAAGTATGTATGTATGTATAAGGGCCAACTGTTTAAAAAATAAGTATGTTAACTCAAAATTTATGCTATTTAAAATTGGAAAAATTATTCATAATGTAGATATTTAGATTTGGCAATAAATTTTTGTTGTCTTATTATGCAGCATTCATTATACCTTTTTGATTCGTTTTATCTCAAATTCACCTTATTAGGTGGATTTGCCAATATGCCCAATGTATTCATTAAGCATAAGGTGATAAATGAGTTGAATAAAATTATTAATTCATTTGTCATGGATATGAAATGAATAACGCTAGAAACATTCATTATACAAAATTTGAAAAAATTGTTCACGCAGTGTTCATAAATTTATTGAGCCTACTCGCGTCAACCTTCGCATACATATCTCGCATATCTCGCAAATTTAGCATGTGTAGTAGCATATAATTTGCGAAATTTTGTGAGACTTGCCGGATTTAGTAAAAATTTTGCTGGACCACCATGTAATTTTTTTCGCAAAGTTACCCGACAATTGGGCATGTTCTTATTTCACAAAATTATTTCGCAAACTTATTCTCAGCATCGCCTACAAGAGAAATTTAAGAAATCCATGAGAACAATATCAAAATAGGTACATATTTCTAGTATATTTGCGACATTTGCGACGTGATATTTTGAGAATCCCTTCGCGACACAAATATGTTAAACTTCGCAAGCTTGATAAATGAGTTGTGATACGAAATATGCAAAACGTTGCCGTGAGAACGCCCATTGAATAATGAAGAATAATTTATTTATTATTAATTTATTAAATACATGAATGTGAACAGATATATGGACATACATAAGTCTAAATAAGTGAGTTTCTTGTTTCGCCTTGTAATGTGCTCTCTTCGTTATCCAAATTATCCTCAATTTTGTACCCATTCTCAAGTTCTGACTTTTTCGAGTAGAATTGTGCGACGCTGCTCCTTTATCAGTCGGTCTTCCTTGATCAACTTTGGATTCGCCAGACGAGTTTTACGGTTCCAAATCTCACAGTCTCTGTCAATCTATGGATGTAGGGAATCATGAATAATAAAAATTAAAAAGCTCTGAAATAAAGGAACGTGTACACAAATGGTAATCCGTTAGAGACAAAAACGAATAATGCGGGAATTTCAAAATAGCTAGCCCTATTTTTCGTACCTGGAGTGACTCTACGTAAAGGACTGCTAATGCAAAGGGATGGGCTAAAAGAGTCGGTTCGCTGTACATGTGCTTGATCATCCTAGTTTCAAAGGGACCGACGGGTGTGACCATCAAAAAGAAGGCCGACTTGCCAAAAAGGTCGCTCAAAAATGTCGTAATCCCTGGACCCTCCTGTAAAATAAAACAATTCTCATATTTATTACCGCATTCCTGATGATGTTCTCCAGCATGTTTGGAAAAAAAGAATATAAAATTGTACAAAGAGTTTTTGCAAAATAATTTTAGAAATTTGTTGTGCAAGGTGGCACGGCATTTTTGCAAATTCGAGGATTATTTTTTAGCAATTTTGTCAAGCTATTCGTAATTTATTTTAGGAATTGATTTAGCCCCAAAATATCGGATTTATTTGGAATCATAGGTATTTATCAGAAATTTAATTACCGATCGTCCCAAATTCTGTGTTGAGAATCGTCCTTTTGAAAACTTTATGGATTATTGCAGCCTCCATGAAGGACTCGTGTCCACGATCGGCTTCCTTGCTCACGTACCACCCAGCTTTCCACTCCTGATCGAAAATATTATCCAGCATTCGATTATTGAAATTAATTCCGGCGAGGTACGAGGTTTCATGCAGTTTCGCAAAGTGCCCCGTGTCTGCTATGTTTTCTGCGATTTCCTATATTTATTTAAAAATCCCATATTTTAAAGGAACCCATTAGGCATATTCACGGCAACTTTTGCATTACTCACAAATTATACGCATTAATATAAGTATACTTTAGTAACTTGCTAAGTTTTGTGAAATTTCTAAAATTTTCCAAAACTAAATATACATGTATATACATATTGCTAAAAACCATTTCAAAAACATATGTACATATACTGAGCACATGGGTCCACATTTTTAGCAAAATTATGCGCTATTAACGGTTTTGCTAAATGATGCATTTTGCAATGCGGAACTACTATTAAATTGACACAAGATACATACGTAAATTGACTAACTTGGGCATGAACTGATACACGAAACTCGGAACGACCTCTATATTTCCAACGGCCATTGTCCACTTCCGGAATTCTTCGAGGCGTCCATGTTGGCTAAAAATAATAATGGATTGTTTTTGATATAAGTAAAACAATTAATAAGCTAAAAGTTTTGCTCTCATTGTAACATATGTATTCTTGGTATTTATTAATTATTACCTGGAGCCCTTTATCATGATACCAGATAAAGATGAATCCGTTCATTTCGAGAGATGTGTGGAGCTTTAGTTTCGCACTTTTCGGTACTAAAAATACGAATTAAAAATTTAAAAAATTGTATTTCCACTTAATGACGTAGTACTTAAACCATGATTAAATTTATGCTCGAAATTCCAGATTTTGAAAAAATCTAAACATTTATAAACCAAAATTCATCTTCCCTTACTCGAACTGGGATCTGCATAGGGAATCTTGACACAGGTTCCCCCAGTCCCTTCAAACGTCCACCCGTGAAAGGGGCACTCGATGCAGTCTCCCTTCACGAGGCCCATGACGCCCAAGTGGGCACCGATGTGGGGACAGTAGCCATCCGCGATGTACGCCTGCCCGCTAGAACCCCGCCAAACCACGAACGTCTTCCCTGCAGATAAAAAAATCATACACCATTAGAAATCTGGCTACAATTATACCGGTCCATAAAATAAGTGCTACCGATATAGTAAAACTTTAATACCGAGCTATATATTACTACACGGTATTACTTATCAATACCACTTTGGCAGAGTCATACATATATGTACCAATACCGCATGGTATTATTTTAATACTGGATTTCTAAGAGTATGTGCATGAAAACTCCCCCTTTTAAAATATTTTTCCTTACCGAAATAATTGGCTTCTTTTGCCTCGGTTTTCTTCAGTAATCTACTCTCCATCACGACAAACCACCCATTCGGATAAAGGGCGGTCGCAACCCCGACTTTCCTCGCTTTCCTCATATCGTTAATGAAATTCATTCTGGCCACGTTGTTCCCCCCTTGTCTCGTATTTGCTTCATCATACCCTAACTCGGTCAGGTCCTTTTAAGAAATTTTAAAAAATCTAGAAACTTTCGCACAATGAAATTGACGCTTTTCTCATCAAATCTTTTTACCCGGTATCGGTTATACGGTCTCCAGAAAAGCAAGTATATCAAGAATCCCACAATCCCCACGAACCCCACGGTTCTCCAGTACACCAAAAAATTTATCACCTCCAAAAAAACTTGGAGAAAGTGTCCAAGTCGTAGTGACGTTTCAAACTGAAGGTTTTCCATGTTTTTCAAAAAATCGGAGTTTGTTTGTACTCCCTCGCCGACAAACGGATCGATTATGCTGACCAGATCGGTATTGTTAACCATTTTATCAGCCGATTAAGATATGTATAGTATATTAATCCATGTAGCCCTAAATGTTTAAGGGAGTCGAAGAAAGACTACCGTGGAAAATGGATGATAGGCAAAATACAGAGCTTATTACAGTAACTTAGAACTTTCCTCCGGCTTATACAACATTCTTCTCCGCATTAGTATCGAGGAAAATTTAAGGTATGCATGTAATGCGAAACTGCCATGCAAAAGTTACATTTTTAAATATGCAAATTGCAAGGTTATACATACATACAGATAAATACATATAAAGAATTCATAGGTCAGTAAAGCAATCAGCCATCTTCGACATGAAAAATTCTCAAGGTATATAAATAAGACTCCAGCGTCGCCTTATTTCGTGCTGTGAACAAATTAATTAATCGCACTCTAAATAATATTCTTATGAAAATTAGTCAGGGTTGAGTAAAAATCTGAAATATAAGCTCGTTTAACAATTTATCCAACCGTTAGATAAATTTCACACCTTTGTTGTCATTTACGTACTAAATTTGGCACAACTTTATTTAGAGTGCAGGTACTTAGGAATTCTCGAAAATAATTATAATAATACATACATAATAACTACTTATTTGCGTACTAATTAGACAACAGGTACCATAAATTACATGCATACACATATCACGGTTTCAATTTTTCCTGATTTAAAATCACGCCATGGACACGTTGAGGTAGGAAGATGTCAATTTAGATAGTACGGGCTGTTCAAATATGTACAGAAGTATGTATTTATTTGTAATCGAATTTCCTACACCGTGTCCATCTTGCACGGCGGCTCACGATTTATGTATGTAATTTGTACACAAATTACCTGACCTGCGTTATGTATGTATGTACAAATATTCTTGATGGTGGCACCATTTTCAGGTACCCCGTTGTTCTGCCTTATATACAATGAGGAAATGCACATTTTATTCGGGTTATCATTATGATGAGGAAAATGGATAAGTTTAATATGGGCCCGTTCAAACGTTACGTTTTCAATTCATTAGGTCTGTTTTGCCTTCTTAATTCCTATATTAAAGTTAAATAGGTATACAGGATGACGGGTATTCAGATGTGTTTTCCACCATTATTTATGATGACCTAATGTTTTAAGTGCCCCCTTTCATGTTGCACTTCCTAAATACTTTAAACGGTAAGGGTGTAACGTTCATGTCAAGTGTGACATGCATATTCGGATGATTTCCAACTGGTATGAAATAATGAATTACATAAATGCATGTATGTATGCAGGTGAATAATTACATACATAATATGTAATTATGTTTGTACATAAGGAACGAGGTTACTGAGCACGATTCAGTTTTACATAGAAATCAGAGTGATTTTTCCTGTCGAACTCATCTTGAGGTGTTTTGTAATGGCTTCATTTTAGGTACATATGTGTGAATTTGTCTTTGACTTTTGTGAATTGGATAAATGTGAAGCGCTTTTGCTTCTCCAGATTCATAGTCCCCTTAGGAGACTCTCCTACATATTTACATAAATAATATGTCGCTTTCTTCACGTAGCCATCACCGCTGACCACCAAAAATCAATCAGTTTTAAAATTAGTTTGTCCCCTCATTCCAAAAAATAAAAAGTTCAGGAGAAAAAATAAATTTCCGCATCCTAATCACTTTGAAAAATATTGCTTTGCATGTTTCTCAAAATTGGATACGTATCACAGTGCATAACTTTTTACTCGATATAGTGGACAGAATAAGGCGGGCTATAAAAATAAAATATCTGTCCTCACATGCTCGAGAGATAATTCACAAACCTAAAGTAGCATTTTGCCAAGACTTATTTACATAGACCCAGTATGATTGAGTAAAAATGAGATTATGCAAGTAAATACCTGGAGAAGGAAAAGCTAGGTACATACATACACAAGCTAAGCAACCAACCACAATTGCCTGACCTCACCTGATATATCTGCATATTTACATATTTCAAACTACGTCTTATTTTTCGACAACAGGGTTTTTCTTATCAGGGTTGCAACATAAATATATAACTTTATAACTAATTATTTCCCAACTTGACCTAAACCCGACTTCAGTTACCATGCAATTCACATCACGATGTAAGATCGTGACTGTGATATACTCCACCTCAAATGGTTTGGATGATATTCTTTATACACCACCGACCCTAAGTAATTAACCAGAGTGTTAGATACATATTTTCATGCATAACTATGTATGTAATTGAGATTAAAGTACATATTTACCTATTTATTACCTTACTATGAGTTCCATCTTGTAATTGGACGGTATTTCCCATTTCCTGTGTAAAGAAGACATGTAAAGAAGACATTTTCCATAAAAGTTGAGAACTTTAAGTTGTCCTACGTATGTACTTACCTGAATTACGCCCAGGTAAATCTGACTTTTTAGCAATCATATGACACGCGTGTACTAAAATTTATCAATACATACGCACTTATATAACCACTCAATTTGCGAAATTGCTCATTCTGTCCATTGGCAATTTTCGTACATACGGTAGATCAGCCCATATTGCGAAATGTTCACCCACACACATTCTACGTGCAAAATCATTGCGAAATTAACTTGTCAACCTACCTACTTACGCATGCCACTCATAAATAGAAATTATTCGCAAAATATAAGTACGACCACGCTCTTTTCTTGCAATTTCCACCCAACATGCGAACCCACAGTTCAAACACCTTGCGTACATACGTAACTACCAAAATTAATTTACAAACCCATTCAGCTCGTTCGTTCATTGAGAAGAAAGTCGATTTATTAAACAATTTATGACATGTGGACAATTTCATGAGCAAGAAAGAGTTGCATAGGAAGCATACATAAAACTGCAAAAATAGATAAAAAGTCCTTGAACTTTTTTTGCAATTTTTTACCCTAATTATTTTGACTCGGCCATAATCAAATTTATGACTTGTTCGATACAAAAACTCCCTGTTATCATGGGTGTGCTCTTTTCAAAATAGTTGGTCGCGCCGATCCGCACTTTCAGCGGGGCGCAGCTTTTCAACCAACGCTTCGACATTTTGAAATTCGAGCTTTTTCCGATTGAGAAACGCCAATCGTAAAGTAAGTTGAGCGAAGCATCATGCGCGTCCCCGGCACTCTTGAATTCTGTGAGGAGGCAAATCATCCCGTTGAGGGCGAGTTGGGCGTGGATCGTGTAAAGGGCGAAGGATACCCGCCCAAAATAGCGGAGCAACGTGTACCAGCCCATGATGAGAATGGTCGTCCAGGCGCAAATCATGGTGGGTGTGATGACATGTGACATACAGTAGTTCACCAGAGTACTGTACACTTGATAGCGGCGGTAGTAGTGAAGCGTCACTTCGCCGAAGGAGGAAACCTTCGTTCTAAAAAATAAAGCGTTTTTCAAATTTAGTAAAGTTTAGAATTTCGAGCTAAATTTGGAATTAATTATTTTGAATTTACTTTGCCGCCTGGACCATAAACGTTTTAAGCGAGAGTGCCAGATAAAACATGGTCGCCAAATTGGCTATTGTTCCAACAGAGATTATCTGATACCAGAAAAAGGTCTCGATGACGCCAGAAGTAAAGACAATGCTGAGCTCTTGATCGGTAGATGGCACCCACGTGGTCGAATTGCAGGCGAGGAATTGCCACGAAATGAAGGCGGGTTCGCACGGATTTAGCATCGAGAACATCCCGGCCGCCATGGGGACCGAGAATACGCAGGAATAAGCCGAATACGTGTAGACTTGCCACGCCTTCCCGAAAAATCCTTTGGTGTAAACGGTGTTCAAACCTGAAAAATTATAAAATTGGAAATTAAGAAATGAAGTGAAATAGAGAGAAAAATCGTCGAAAATCTAGATTTCCAATTTCGAAGAAGTCACATTTTTTGCGAGCTCAACGTAAATTACAAGCTGAGAGATTTATTATTCGCAAGTTGTCTAACAGAATTTTGTGCGTCAAAAATCCTTTACCATTATTTTTCCGAAATTTTTAAATCATTAAAATTGTCTTTTAATCCTTACCTTCTTGTTCCGCCTCTTTTTCCAATTTATGCGCCTCGTTCATCATGTCCACCGTCTCTTTTGACTTCCTCGTCAACTCAAACCGAAAAAGGATCGTGCACATGATGGGCCCCATCCACCCGTAATCCAGCAACTTATCCGTCATGACATACTCCCCCGACGGCCCCACCTGCAGCCCCGCCATCCTCAACCCAAACCCGACCATGAAGTGGACCGTTCTCCCGAAATGAAACAGGTACAGACATCTCGTCACCGTGCGTCTCAACTTGCCCTGCATTTCGACGACCTTCTCCTCCTCCCACGAAATTTTAAATGGAACAATGCAAAACGCGCAGAGCACTTCAAGCGTTAGTAAATTCATCCTATACGCTTTTGTCAGTAACGCGTTTTTCATCCGAAACAGGACATGCCGCTTAAAGAAACCCATTCTTTTTCTCAATGAAACTCGCTTCCTATTAAACCGGATAAAAAATTAGGTGCTTTCCTTTTCCCTCGACTAAATCCGCCCCGGTAACAAGTCGCCCTTTTTCTACTCGAGAAAATTTCAGATTTTTAATCTAGATTCATTCCACCCTGGAGTAATTATGTTTATTGTTAATGGATGAAGCTCCCTATTGAAACGGGACACGCGAGCTTTCATCATTTCTTTTTCCCTCTTCTCCTGAATATTTAAAGGTACTTATTCCCGTTCAGGTGGAGGTGGTAGTGGTTCCGTAGTTGACCTGTTATACGAAAAAAAGTCGTGTAATTTCCTGATAATTGCTTCGACTTTGTATGTACTTTGGGTGATAATTGGAAAATAAATGGATTCTTGGGTGCCTTACATAACCCTGCGTGCCGAGGGAATTAAGTGTTTCGTTAAGATTTTTATGATTCTTCAACAAGGGTGGTAAACCAAGTAAGTGGCGAAATTTAAGTAATGATGCACCAATTTCGACCTTCGGTGTGACACATTTTGACCCAACGACAGTGTAATGAGGAGAAAGACTTCGCAGGTTGGCAGGATACAAAGCTCGGTCAAAGTGGTCACGAGACTCCACCTTTTTCAATTTTGTTCCGTATCTGAAAATCTGCATGGGAGGGTGAGG